AACCACGCGGATACTTTCTCTCGTCTTCTACGGTCCGCGTGCCATTCAGGATGGTTGACGCTTTTGTGCATCGAATTCGGTCGCTCGTGCATCGTTTCTAGTTCGCGTCTTCTGACTCGCTCCGTTTTTCCAGTTAACCTTGGCCTTCGATCGAAAATTGCGGTGAAAGAAACCTCGGTCTTCCTCCTCCTACTCCGAATGGCCTCGTTCGCCACTTCCGCATCGCTTCACTCGTTCGACATCATCGTTACTAATTCTAAAATTTTCGAACGTAACACGAGCGTTTAGCGTTGCGAGATACCGTTGCCGAGATTCGTTATCGAGACGAATGACTAACTTATAAAATTATTGAGTAAATTAGAGTAAATGATAAGACTTGGCCTGTTGTTTTATGAAAACGCGAATGAGCTTATTACTCGATCTAAGAATTTTTATATCATTCGTTTCAGAATTAACAACTGTATGAAAATACAAATCCTTAAAACGTTTATCCGGAAAACAACAAATAGAGGTATTCATACGAATGCTGCCATTAAAAAGAGACGTAATATCTCGTCTTTCCACTGCGAAAATATCGACAGTGTCCGTATTGTGTAAGTAACGATGAAATCATCCGAATCTTGGCGTTAGAATTTAATCTCGGAATTAAGATTAATAATCCGTGGAAGACACAATGTCTGTGTTGAAATAATATTATGTGATATTTATTAAACAATTATTACAAGAAATATAAGTGTGTTGTGGAATATAGATAGTTGGCTAGTTATTCTCGGACTAGTCAGTCCGATTGACTTAGTGACCCATGGCCCTTGAAAAGGTTGTGAACCCCACTCTCTATGCGGTAGCGAGTGTGACCTGTGTAGGTGTCTGTGTGGCGTCACACGTGCCACGGAACGTTCTAGTAACTTCTCGACGTGCCCAATGTTCCATCCATATCCTTACGCTTCTTCCGCCGAATTCTCGAATTCATGCATGCGCTGGTACATCTCACGAACGCACGCTAGTGGGGGATATCGCTGGGCAACGAAGGGAAGAATCCGTTCGATCAATCATCTCATCTGTATGCGATTGATATCGTTGTATTTCAACACTTGGTCCAATCTATTTCGTCCTGTCATTCGCGATTCGATTCTCGTCGAAGTAACATAGAGTGTTCTGTTAAAAATTTCAAACTACGATACTAGATGGCGCGTGACAGATTATCGTTACTACCTATGCTCGCGTTTCTCGTGAACGTACATTTTTGCTGTATCGTGGGTTAAACGTGACGCAACCTTTTCGATTTCCTCAGACTTTATTAATTAGAGCGAGGAAATTACGATTTCTCGTCGTTTTTGTTTCGTCGCTGAAACGTAAAATTCTTCGGCTGCGTATGCGTTTTAATTCGTAATTTTATCGTTCGCGATCGCAATCGGCGTTACATTTTACAAACTTTCGGTGGTTGGCATGTTTCGCTGAAAACAATGTAGCGCCATTGAAAGCAGCTTGACGCGAATGTCCCCGAAAGTTATTCCAATGTGTACTACTTTCTTTGAATAGCTTTGTTCAGGTTGTTACGCGATTTTCTGCCACAACTGCGTTCTAGATTTATTTATTTAATTGGTTTCTTTTTAGTTCGACACACGCAGCATTTAATACGCGTAATCATGAATGTATGCATATGGTAGTACAATCGATGAATTATGTGGCGAAATTACGCTTAAAATTAAAAGGTAAAAAACGATGCTTCGATTTTTCCGCTGATAAATCGATTTTGTCTAAATTCGGTATAATTTCTGCGTTTGGGTTTAGAATTTTTATTTCTCTTTATAGCTATATCTGACGAGTCATCGCGTTGCCTGTTCATTTATACAGGATGCTCCAGCGATTATCACCAATCGTAGTCGGCAATGAGTTCACTGTGCGGAAGTATAGAATACAATTTTGTCTGTGATAAAATCAAATTTGAAAATTTATGCGAATTAGTATTGGCTAATTAGCGAATAAACGAAAATTTTATCCTCTCGTAAACGAAGCGTCATACGGATGAATCTTATTTTATATTTTTGGCTTATCTTTTCACGTAAAATTCCCCTTTTTCCGATTGTATCACGATTGATCGAACACTACGTAGAAATTCCAGTCCTTCGCGATTACCAAATGGCTTATCTAAGATTTCGAAGCGTCTCTGGGAGAGACATTTCGATAAAAGCAACCGTTTCAAATATCTTTCTTTCAACGACGCACGCAGTGAAGTTCAACGCAATCTACTCGTGACGCACGTGCCATGCGAGAAAGTTCGGCACATCTCGACGTGTTAACGCAGTTACCTGTCTTGCAAAATGTCCGAGATATTTTACCGTTAAATCATCCGAAAAACGTTTCTATACGTTCCTTTTATTTCTTCGATCAAATTGCAAATATTTTAAAAGACGTTTTTCTTTCGAAAAACTTTTATACGCCAAGTGAAATTTATTTTTACTTCTTTATCGGTTAAGAAGAGCTCGGAGGAGCGTACACAGCGAATCTTATTCTCTTTCAGGATCTCGCGTTCAGAGATCGCTGCGTACCTACGTGACGTGCATCACGTGCACGTAGTGCGTTTTACTTTTCTTCAGCCTCGTTGAAGTTTCATGGCTGCAATTACGCGTTAAATAATAATCCTTTAGTCAGCAGTTTGACCGACGTTAACACTGACAATTCCATGACTATACGTAGATTATTTACGAACCATTGTATTCACTTGTTCCACTGGGCACGCAACAAGGCACCAATTGCGCAATATTTTCGACTATCTCAGAAACCCATAAAGGAAGAATGATTAGTTGCGTAAAACTGTTTTGAAATTTCGTCGAAATTATCGTTGCATAATCTACAAGAATTCTCGTAAAAATCGTTCTGGACGATTTTGAAAAATTAATGGAGATTTAGGCAATCTCGAATAATTTGCCATCTCTCTTAATCGATCGTTTTTTGCCATTCAGACGTCGAATTGCCTAAAAATTCCATTTCTCGAGCGATTAACTGATACTTTTTTCTTCGTTTAAGGATATTCACGCGTTCGTCAAATATTTTTTAACCATCTTGGCTACAAATTTATGTAAATACAGCGCCGATTTAGAAGAACGAACATTATTTAACACGTAGGTACATACGTTTGACGTTACTTTGGATGTTACAGGTAACGCACGCAGGAAGAGCACGTGTTTTATCGAAAAGAGGAAAAAATCGTTAGAATCTCTTATTATCGTTGTGTGATTTACGTAACGCATTGCAAGAGAAGTGTACTTTCATTCGTCTAGCATACGTTCAAGGACGTTTAAGAGGTATGTAACTGGCAATGTAATTCGGCTATCGCATTTCAGCGATGGAAAAATTGTTTACGATCCAGTTCATATTCCGCGATTGACCGATGAATGCGATGTTCCATCATTCCATCAAACACGGTATTGTAAGATATTTCTTTGCAGGATAATTTGTAAGGTAGTTGAAAGTAAAGCTTCTATTTCGAGGTCTATCGCCTCTGAATAAACATATTTGTCTCGTGTCTATATTTATTTCATTCACATTTTTTGATACAATAAATTATAGAACGGTTACCTTTCACGGTGACTAATTGCAAGTGTATTTGCTTTGTACATTTACCTTTGAAATTGCCAGGCTCGGTAAATTTTGCAAAAAGACTAACGTTCAAAAACCCTACTTAATGCTACAGTGGCTATCAAAAGTACTATAGAATTGACATACCGATTAATCAGATCCAAGTACATTAACTTTCGTATAATTCGGTAGTACATACTCTCGTGTCGTTACAGAAATTTCATGCTATGAGAATGAAACGTAGATTCTGATAAAAAAAAAAGTGCTTCATTGGAAACTAAGGGTGGCTACCCGTTGCAGCCATTAATTAACTATAATTGATTAACTTAACGTAACTTAAATATTCCTACTATTTCTACTATTACTATTATTCTAGTTTTCGAGCTTTCGGAACATCGACAACGACTAAAATATGTACATATTATATATGGTGAATTTGACGATATTAATAAATAACGGTATTAATTATTTACAAAATCAACAAGTTCTAATGGTAACGACATTTATATCATGATATAGGAAAATAAATATTATTTGGTCGCAGGTAACGCATTCGTTTCTTTAATTTACGAATAAGTTAGTTACGAATGTTGTAGCTACGTATAAATTATTCGAATTAGCATTTATCTATTACTTTCTACATATGTATATCATCTGTAACAAATTAAATAGTTAGTCTTGATTTTACAAACCTACCTAGAAGTCTCCTTCGGATACCTCGCTTGCTTCTTACAGTATCTTTCCGGAAGCAGAACCTTCGGTATTTAAAATTGAAATAAAACGTACTCGCGTTTCGCATTATTCGCATCATAGTTATTCGAGTCGAAAGTAGATCACAATATTATGTAATAGATCGTTGGTACCGACTACCTTATTTATTTAATTCGTTGAATCTACATTCTAGGCATCAACAGATCGTTGATTCTCGCTTACGTTGACCGACGTTCGTTCACGACTTTATAGCTTCTCGATTAAACCCAGAGAAATATCACCACACCCTGTATAAAGGGGCGGGTCATACATCATGTTGCATAAGTAAGTAGTTCATTGGGTGATCGAGCACGTGTAAATGCTGCTTATCGATTATGTTGTAATACGGGAATTTTAAAAATTAAAACGAGTTTGCTAAAGCTGTCACATGCTTTATCTTCGTCTTTCTCTAATCATCGGTAATTTTTCCAGTAGGAAAACAGTTAAACGCGAAATATTTTCCTTCTTATTCCTTGTGTAACAGAGAATAAAATAAAACCGAGAACACGATGATAATTATACGACGATGACATATCGATATAAAAGTAGAAAAAAAATATTTAAAAAATTGTTGATTCTTAAATAGCCTGGACTCGAGCAAAGTCGTTCTTGTTATACGGAATTTACTTCTGGTATCTTTTCATTTTTTCTTTCTTTTTCTCTCTTTCTGACAACTTTCGATCTGACCCAAGAGAAGAAAGTGAGAGGATTGAAAAAGACATCGGTAAACCATAAATTTCCGAGGAGCGGACGCTTATCGAAAAGTTCTTTCGGAACGTTTAACTCTATTTTAGAATAGAATTGATATTAGAACATCTGTTTCATATATGTTCCTTTTTCGCTAACGGAAAACGAATTTGTTTCTCACTTTCGGATTTTAAAGGTTCGCATCGGATACGTTTACGTCGTTAACAGTATAGCCACGAAACGATTCGATCGTACATTACGACGGTCACATTTCCTATCCTTTAGTCGTGTGAAAAAAATATAAAATACGCATTTCCTTTAACGTCATCGAGTCCTCGATCGATAAATTACTTACAAATTACTTATAAGCGAGCCTAACGACAATTAAACGATCGCATCTCCTTGCGTTCCTTCGTATCGTTAAATTAAAAGCCTAATCAAAAGGCCGTATCGACGGAGAACGGTATTTCCATTATGTGGATCTACATCGATCTCGATACTAGTCCCTTTTCTCTTATTTCTTATTTACGAAATAACGCGGCAAGTACATCCATTCGGCGATCGACGGAACAAGCTGATTTCTCGGCAAGAATTCTTCCAGTCACGTTGCGACGATCGTGGCGTTGTCCCTCTTCCTCCGTGATAGCCATTGCTTCTTAACCAAATCCGCGCCTTTCTCTCCGATCATGATCACCGGTGCGTTTATGTTCCCGTTGGTGATCGTCGGCATAATGGACGCGTCGATTACCCTCAACCCGGTCACACCGTAGACTCTGAGTTCGGGGTCGACGACGGCCATGGGGTCGGTCGGTGGACCCATTTTCGCTGTACAGCTCATATGATAGATCGTCATAGTGTATTGTCGTATGGCACAGTTCCAATATTCGTCGGTGAACATAGGTATGTGGTTACAGTTGGGTAGAGCGCGATTGTGGAATCTGGCACCGAATCTTTTCATGCTGCTCGTCTCTCCGAAAGCTATCGCAGCCTTCACGCCTTCCCTCAGGACATTCACGTCGTAAGGGTGGGTCAAATAATTGTGGTACATCAGGGGATAATCCAGAGGGTTTTTCGACTTTAATTTCACGAAACCGCGAGATTTAGGCCTGAGAAGCATGGGGAACACCCCGAACAGGTCGCGGTAATTAATGTTCTGGAATACTTGCTTGTAAAAATCGTCCGTGAGTCCGTGAGCATTTTTCACGTGCGTGCCTCCGTCGGAGCTAGTGGAGGAAGAGGTCAGCATGAATTCTATATCGGGCCAATCGTCGCTTTGATTTGCGTATTTCGTCGAGATAAAACCTACGGACTCTAAGCCTACGTTCGTGGTTAATGGTCCGTCTTCCGTGATGGCGTACCGTAGAGCGGAATTAAGGTTCACCAGGCGAGTCATCACGGTACTGATCGGGTAATCGATCAAGAAAGCTAGACCACCAACCGCGATGTGATCCTGCAGGTTCTGTCCGACTCCGGGAGAATCGTGCACCACTGTAATTCCTACTTCTTCCAGGTGTTGTCTAGGTCCAATTCCCGAGAGCATTAACAGCTGAGGAGAATTTATGGCACCCGCCGAGAGAATGACCTCCTTCCTGGCGTAGACTACCTCTTTCCGGCCTTCTTTGATGAACTCGACGCCGTAGGCTTTTTTCGTTCGTGGATCGATCAGGACCTTGGTTACGTGACTCCACAGGGATAGATGAAAGTTTTTTCGTAACTGAATGGGTCTGATGAATGCTTTCGCGGCGCTGCATCTCGTTCCTCTTCGCATGGTATATTGGTAGAAAGCAAAGCCCGTCTGTTGCTCTCCGTTTACGTCTACTATGTCGTAGCCCATTTCTTCGCCGGCCTGTAGGAAGGCCACTCCTAGAGGTGTGTTGTAGGGCGAGTCCTGAATCGTCAGGTACCCTCCTTCGAGAAGAAACGACAAATATTTAGTCGAATTAGAGATCGTTTCATTTTAATTGAGAGAAAAGAGAATAGAAGCACGAATACGATCGATGGATATTTTATATACAAGGTGGTTGGTAACTGGTGGTACAAGCGGAAAGGGGGTGATTCTACGCGAAAAAAGAAGTCGAAAATATAGTATAACAATCTTTTTTTTAATTTTTTTTCTTTTTTTTTTAATTTTTCCATCGAGACAACGATCTACAGTGAGATCCGTTATAACGAGACATGATAAAGTGCACCCAGCGAAAATTCAGAGTCGATTTTTTCGAAATGCTAATTATATATATATAGAGTGGTTGGTAACTGGTGGTACAAGCGAAAAGGGGGTGATTCTAAGAAATCGAAAATATAGGATAAAAGTTTAAAAATTTAAAAATTTAAAAATTTAAAAACTTAGAAATTTAAAAACTTAAAAACTTGAAAATTTAAAAAATTAAAAATTTTAAAATTTTAAAATTTTAAAAATTAAAAATTTAAAAATTTAAAAATTTTAAAAATTAGAAAAATAACGTCAATCGAGACAACGATCTACAGTGAGATCCGTTATAACGAGACATGATAAAGTGCACCCAGCGAAAATTCAGAGTCGATTTTTTCGAAATGCTAATTATATATATATAGAGTGGTTGGTAACTGGTGGTACAAGCGAAAAGGGGGTGATTCTAAGAAATCGAAAATATAGGATAAAAGTTTAAAAATTTAAAAATTTAAAAATTTAAAAACTTAGAAATTTAAAAACTTAAAAACTTGAAAATTTAAAAAATTAAAAATTTTAAAATTTTAAAATTTTAAAAATTAAAAATTTAAAAATTTAAAAATTTTAAAAATTAGAAAAATAACGTCAATCGAGACAACGATCTACAGTGAGATCCGTTATAACGAGACGTGATAAAGTGCAACCGTACCGAACGAAAATTCAAAATCGATTTTCTCGAAAACAAAGCCTCAAACGAAAAATTTTTATTCTATATTTTCGACTTCTTTTTTCGCGTAGAATCACCCCCTTTCCGCTTGTACCACCAGTTACCAACCACCCTGTATATCGTTAGTAATGCGATGCAAATGCCATGTTATCATTGAAAATCAATTTGTTATCTCTCTACAAACAGACTCGCTCTTTTGATGTATCGTAATTGTTGCACATATTTTAAAAATCTCTTGCTCGGCAAGATCAATTATAATTTGAATCATTTGCGTATGGAATTGAAGTCTCGGACGCATTAGAGCAAAATCACAACCAACTTAACCACTTTTTTCTTAGGTAATATATCGTATATCCGTTTGGTGGATATTATCGCTATAACGATTAATCGTTGCCACTCTAATTGTTAGTAAAGAAAGTGATATTTATGCGAATGATCAAAATATAACGTGTAACCTTTCACGCGTATTCTTTTAACGAAGGAATTTTTCTTTCTATAGTATTTTACAATTATACTCGTTTCACCTCACGTAAAGATTGGAATCTGTTCTGTTAATAATATGTGTTACATTAATGCGTTAGTAATGTATTCTGATAATAATTTATGAAAAATCACTTAGGTATAAGGCTGTAAGACGTAATAAGATTGGCCGTATAGTGCCCTTCGATTCGTTAAATCGAGATATAAAAGAAATAAGATCCAAGTTTCTAGCTTGCTTGTTTGTTAATAAATATTTGTATTAAAAATATAGCGTCTTACCAGTGGCATGGTATCTAGTATTGCGAGCTAAATAGGGATTTCTTTGATCTTGAGATTTTTTGAAATAAGGCAGAACATCCTCGTAACCCCATCCAGGGTTTCCGAAACTTTCCCACTGATCGAAATCTCGTCGATTTCCTCGAATATAGAGCATCGTGTTAAGCACGCTCGAGCCACCCAAAACCTAAAATACCATTAAAAAGAGATATTAAATATTTTCAATCGTGAAAATATACTGGTTTCCGACTTTGTATCTTCGCAATTACTGAAAAGTCGGAAATGGAGATTTTTGAGAAAATTAACGTTCTAACGTTAATAAAATATTCGATCAGAGTATTTCTTTGCTACAAAAATGTTTCAACCTTTCCTCTGGTCCAACAGCATCGTCGATCGATCATCGCTTGACAAGCGGAATCTTGCGGCTGAGTCCTATATTTCCAATCCACTTTGCTCTTGTGCAAATAAAGGGATAGTATAGGGACATCCGTTATCTCGGTTTCGTGTCCTCCAGCCTCTAACAACAGCACATTCCACTTAGGATTTTCTGTAAGTCTGTTCACAACCACGCTTCCAGCCGATCCACCTCCTACCACCACAAAATCGTATTCCTTTCTTATATTCTTCGTCACTTTGGGATAATTCTCAGGATCCATCAGATCGTAATTGTAGTATGCTAGAGCCGCTATGATAATAGGAATTATCGCCACCTTTCCAAGTAGAACAGTGGCACCCTTTACCGCCAACGTGGCTGCTGTCACGATACTCATTTTTCTGCCGTTTTTTAATCAACTTCTTTTCCTCCAAATCTTCCCGATTACAGCTACGTTTCGAACGAAACATTCGAGTTTCGATTCTTTTTTTCTTCTTGCTTCTTCTTCGAGTCTCTGTTACGCGTCGAGGGTTCTGAACATTCTCGAAGAAAGAAGAGATCGCGCTGTGGAAAGTCTGCTTCTGTAATAATAAAATCGAACGATGTCATCGAGCCCTGTTATTATACAAAGCTCCGTTGCAAGTCGTGGAAGGTAAATTCTTCGCGACGAATTAAAAGAATCGTCCGATTCGCGAGTGACAGACCGACGTTTTCTTAATACGTATGCTTGAGAAAACCTACAAAGAGATGAAATAACGTTCTTGCCAATCGGAAATTTTGCGAAGAATTTTACCTGATCTTTGATTTAATTATATGTTAAAATTCGCTGACAAGAGTAAGCTTCTTGAGGAAGATGAGAATTTTGTGTCAGCGAGTTCCTTATGATTTATTTCCTATAAAGACTTCTCACAAAGACGAGAAAAGACATATTTTTCTGTATACACAGTGATAAAGGAAGTAAAATTAACTCCTGAAACTTTACACCTGCGCGAGAAACACTTTTTCAACGATTCGACTTACGTGTCCACTATTTTTTAATCGCTCTATGCACTGCTGCTCGTGACGTTTCGTATCATCACGAGACAATAAACCTGAAACTTGGAAACACGGTTTCTCACTTACATGTTAACGAGGCTTATATTCACCGGCACGAAACTCGTCATCCCGACTGTCAGTCGTCGATATAGTACTCGACGAGAAGCAACTACAAAGCACGCTGCGAAGCGATTCCAAGTTATCTCGCGTTTGCATAACTTTCTTTTTTTTTAACGATGCAGTCCAGTGACATCGCTATTCACGAGCAACCTGTCGCTCGTTGCCGATCGTACATTTTCAGTCAGGGTCGCGATACACTTTCTTTTCCTTTTGCGGATCTCGTCATTCGCTCGTAACGATTGGTATTTTTGGTACAAGAGAGGTGTATTATACGTCGGTGGAAATAGTAAGAAAGTTCGTTTTGATTCGTCGAATGGAACGCTGCAAACAGAATTAAACGCGGTTAAAAAAAATCGCTCTCGTATTTCTCGTGTTCGTTTAACGACGTCTAATCATGACTCAAAAATTGAAAAAAGCATCATGTTACTTTCACGAAGCGTAGACAATAATCGTATAAACGTAAGAGTGTTCACCAAATAAATCATCGTTTCTGACACTACCGTTTGCAGCACTCGTTCCATTCAACTTTACTCGTCCAACGGTTCTGTAGATTTCATTTTATTTCCACGACACTAAATCATCGCTAAATCATCGTTTCTTTGATACTCACTCTCCAGTTTCGGACTATCGATTCCTACTGTCGTTCTACGAAAATCGTTCGAACGATCGATCGCATGACTAGGTATATTCCGCGAGGTTGAGAAAAAGGCACGATCCTCGTGGACCATGCATGGAGGCATGCATGGAAGCCGATCGAGCAACTCGCGAACGCAGAGAAAGCGAAAGACTGAATGCTCGAACATCACGTTCTACGTATAAAACGTACCGTAGTACCACCACTTTGGTCCTACCATCCGACCACTACTGACCCTTGGGGTGAAATGTTTCGTATGTGTGGCCAATCGGTGACCGATGCCACGATCGTTACACCAGCGTTACATGCACCGGCATTCTACAAACATTTTACTGGAATAAGCGTCGATGTCGTGTAATAACTGACCGATTTAGACGCCGAGACACAAATATCCAGTTACCTTCACCTACAACGATGGTTATGTGACTAGAATCACAGAAGTCGTTGTATCCATTAGGAGTCTTACCATTTATGATATACTGGTACCGGTTTAATTGACCGTATCTGTCTACGTCGATTCATCAAACCAACTTCCAACGAAGCGATCCTTTAACGCCTATATAAAATAGATAAGAGCGTCTTGTGTTGTATAATTTTATCAATTTTCAGATTTTTAAAAATCTAATTTGAAAAATTGGCGTTCTATGTTTATCGCCGAATCGGTTCGTGAATCATACGACGGTTTCATTCGATCGTTCAAAGATACTGCCGAGACTAAGATAAGTTACCGAAACTTGATTTTCGCTTTCGTAAACGATCAACGGTGACAAGTATTTTTAGTGGACATTTGATTACGGGGACTTCCCACGAAATAAGTTATTGCTCGTCGAAAAGATCGTTATGCCACGCTGTATACGTACTACATACGCTTTGTTTAACGAGATGTAATCATATTTGCAAATTAGCATGCATAATATCGTTTGAATCGTGACCCGTTTTACATTCTTCTTTTTTATATCATAGGTGAATAATGTAAAAACGACATGTACGACATGGATAACTATAATTGCGTTAAACTATATAATTGCGTTATAGGAATATGGAAATAAAATTTATTGGAATAAACATTAGGTTCGTTATGAAGAAATCTTTGATTAAACAGTTCTACTTTTATACCGTTGATCGATCGTCTCTGCGTGAATTTTAATACCGCGACGTTCTCATAAATCGCTTTTGAAAGCGAAACGAACACGAATAAAAATTGAACACGATTCAAAAATGTTTACCACGCGATAAATAATCTATGCGTGTATTTATCAAACAGCAATCTCGAGCAGCATTTTTAGTCGCGTTTGATCGATTTTTCGTGGCATATTAGTGGACTGAGAGACGAAGATCCGAAGGACGAACGACAGCTTTGCATTTTTCGCACGCTTTCTCCTTCTCTTTCTGTTCGATTATCCCTTGCTCCTCGGCTTTCGGCCGTGGTCATCGCCGCATTCTACAAGTACCATACGTTAGACGGAAGCATTTCACTTTCGCCCAGGCGATTTTGAAATCGCCTTGGTCAAGTTGCCTTTTCACTCCAATTGTACGATATCGCGTCCGTATACTACCGCGTATCTGAAAAATTGGGAAAGACCCTTCGAGTGAAAGTTTTTCGTTTCTACGCGATGTCGGTTATACTTACAGCGACGAGTGGCCATGAATCGAGCGTTGGATCATCGTGTTTCGTCTTTTCGAAGGAACGAAATTTTGCAGAGAATTTACCATTATGCGATCGAGAGAAATATTAATTTATTGGTCGAGTCGTTCTTTAGTCGGAAACTTTTCTAATTATCGATCGATTTTAGCGAATCGAAACTTTACGATCGTAAATAACGAATCTATTGCTTCCATATCGAACAGAGAACGATATAACTCGCGAAACCGTATCGTTGGTTTACCGATCAGGTTTTATCCAGATCGAAGAATCGTCGACTTGAAAATCATAAAAGTAGATTGTGCGATAATAACCACGAGTCTTCGCATATTTCGCGATGCTCACCGATGTTTTCTAGAAGATTACCTTCCTTCGTACAGTTATTAGACGGAGGTCACTGGAAATGAGTAGAATATAGAATCTTAAGAGTTTCTGCGGTAAAAAAAACGGACGATAATTATATCTTACGGTAATCGTGCCAATAAAAAAAAAAAAAAAAAAACGTTGGCAGAAGAAATGGAGCAACAGACGATTCATAATAGATACGTTTCACAGCTGTTCGTTATTGATAATCTAATTATCGACGGGCACTTGGCTTAGCACTTTGATATCTTGATGCCAAGTATAATTATTCGTTGCATCTTTACTCATTCGTGACATAGTTATAAAGTTCAGATTTTGTTATTGTGCAAGAATCGCAAAGAGACGGAAATCTCCATTGAATCGCCATAAGGGTGACACCTTTCGGCCAACGATTGACACAACGATTTACTCACGCGGTGACGATTACGATCGTTTGCGCTTTCGAAAACATCGATCGCGACTGTTTAAAGCGATCATTGTCTCGTAAAATCCGGTCGCTGTATTCGTCCATCAAGGAGGTTTCGTCGGCTGATCTGGAAGATGTTGTCGTGTCTTCGCATTTGGCGAAAGTACAGAATAAATAAATAAGACGCACGAGTAACACAAGCTGAACGTGTTAACGAAGCGTGAATTTATCTTTATTCGACTGTTTGCAGGATAAAAAGGTAATACGACTTGTTTTTCTGTTTCAGGTAAGATGGCGAACGATAACGTTAAATTCTTCGTTGGTCTTTCGATATTCCGGACGAAGGTACTTATCTACTCGCATTTTAGCCTAACAACGAATAACATGGAACTTATCTTCTAGATGCAAACATATTCGTTGTACATATACAAATATTTAATACATAGATGTATAAACGTTCGAATGTCACAGAGAAATAGACGCGATAGTTCGCACGAGCCTAACAGCAGGCAACACGCGATACGTCCAAGTAAACGAGTAATGTTTATTCGTTTCCATCGAAGCGCGATAAGAAAGAACGTACTAGACCGAGTTCATCTACCGTATTGTGACATATATTGGTCTAAAGTCTAAGGTTTTACCTATTCGTTTCTAACTAACAATTATATACTTTCTCTGTGTCATTGCGCATAATATCTTGCGCGGTGAGACTTCTAACCGCGAATTACATTAACCTACGTTACGTCGTAAGAAATATCGATACTTGATGAAATATTAGGTTGTCCAAAAAGTTTCTTTCGTTTTACGAGGAAATAATAGACGCACAACGTTTTTTGTTTTATATTATTTTGTCGAATTACGTACGATCCGTTTTGTTCTGTTCAGATAAACACCACGACGTTTCACAGAAAGATACTTTTCGGACAACCTAATACGATATGAGATACTTGTACAGGAACGTACGCGTATATGCGAATTTTTCTATAGTACGTTTCCGAAAGTAATCGTTTTTTTCACCGAGTAATCCATGTTCTAAATTTAAAACTAATATTTCGTGCCAACTTTTGCTCTAAAAATAGTTCCGCGATCTATTCGTTGTATCGATTTATATATAAACGCTATAAATCTCTTCTACCCCGTTCTACCTTTCTACCCTGAAAAGAATTCCGCGTTTCAACGTAGAAACGCTAACAAAGCCTCGCTACTCGTGCAATTCAAAGTTGTTTGTTTCCGCTAACGTTGCTATACTCGCTTTAGATGGTGTCGCCCTAGACAAACTTTTTACCACGCAACCAGTCCTCTTTGATCATATCGCTGGCTTTCTCCGCGATCATGATAGTAGGCGCGTTCGTGTTCCCCCTAACGATCTTTGGCATTATCGAAGCGTCGACGACCCTCAGCCCGCTAACTCCGTATACCCTTAGCGTGGGATCTACGACCGCGTCGGGATCCCAATCTGGCCCCATTTTACACGAACCTACCGGATGATAGATCGTTGCCGTGTACTCCATCATCACGCACTTCCAGTAATCCTTCGTAGCGAATACGAAATGTCTACACGAAGGCAGAGGTGTATCGATCAGCCGGAAACCATATTTTTGAAACGAGTCCGTACGAAACAACTCTAAAGCAGCTTCTACTCCTTCGACCAATACATCCGCGTCGGGATAGCTCGTAAAATATCCGGGATAGATCAACGGTGGTCCCCACAACGGATCGGTATCGTTTAACAGTATATATCCTCTGCTCTTTGGCGACAATAAAATCGGTCTAACGTTAATAGCGTCGTAATAGGACAGCGGTTCGACCGCTGTTTCGCGATATTCTTCCGGATCTTTCAGATAGTCCTGCTGATTGCTGGCATCGAACGCATACTGTATGTTCGGTAGATCGTACTCGCGTTGAGAAATCGTCTGCAGGAAGACGCCACAGGTAATGGCACCAGCGGCGGATAGTGGTCCCATCTGGGTTTTCTCGTAATAGAAAATGTCATTTTCTTTCAAATCGTTGTCTTTACTCGTCGAAGTAACGTTTAGCGCGATCACAACGCCATCCATCGTCACGTGATCTTGAAGATTCCTTCCAACTGGTAAGTCGCTGACCACCGCGATCCCGTGTTTCCTCAACTCTTCCGTCGGACCAATTCCAGACAGCATCAGGATTTTAGGCGAATTGATCGCGCCGGCCGACAGAATCACCTCTTTCCTAGCTGAAACCGACCTTGTAAATCCCGTGGCTGTCGAAACGTACTCGACACCGGTCACGCGTTTTGTTTCGTCGTCTATCAACAATCTCGTGACGTGAGCTTCGGTTTCGACCGTCAGATTTTTCCGTTTGCGTCTGACGGGTCTGACGAACGCGCTGTTCGCGCTTTGACGCATTCCACGAGCAGAAGTCATTTGCAGTTTCATCACGCCCAGCTGACTCTTCGCGTTGGAATCCACCGATTCGTGTCCGAGTTCTCGCCAGGCGTTCAACAGGATCTCTGCGTTGACGTCGGTATATGGAAATCGTTCTACCGACTGATAGCCTCCTTCTTTGTGGTAGTATGGATTGCTTTTCACGACCTGGAGAAAATACCGATTTTATTCCATCTTCTCGTTACCTGTTTATTCGCTTTCGATATTGCGATTTTAAAAGCTTCGATCGATTCGTCACCTCCGGATTCTTGTTATTTTCCGATTTGAGAAAATATGGCAAAACTTCTTCGTAGCTCCAGCCGTAATTCCCTTCTTCCGCCCATTCGTCGTAGTCTCTCGGATTACCACGAATGTAAATCATATAATTGATACTGCTGGAACCACCCATCACCTATACGAAAGACGATACACTTTTTAAAGTCCAGATACTTGTAACTTTGTAAATAATAAACGAAGAAAAATTCCAAGTTTGACAGTCTTTATCGATCGTTTGGTATTTCTGAAATTTCAAACTCTCGGTACGTTCATTCGCGGTAATTAATTTCTTCGTTCGATGTTGGAACATCGGAATACGTACTTTGCCCCTTGGCCACGCGCAACTTTTACCCCGTCTCGATCGACAAGAGTGTCGCTCCGGTTGCGTACGATACATCCAATCGATATTGCTGGCTTGTAACATAGAGGCGAACGCCGGAATATCGGCTACCATTGGTTCTTCCGTGCCACTTTCCAACAACAGTATCTAAAAATAATCGAAAAGTTTGGAAATAAGTAGTTTCTCTTAGTCGATGTTATTTACTTATGAATCGTGACTGTATTCTACGTGGGACATTTGTAATCGTTAGATCGTTAAATCGTTAAATCGTTAAATCGTTAAATCGTTAAATCGTGATATCATAGTAAATTAGCAAGATATCGTCGTTGAAGATACACATCTAGAATCATCGTCGTCGACGATTCTCAAAATAATCCAATAAGCGTGATGCGTTTCGTGGCCTGTTTTAATCGCTACGAAGCCTTCAAATGGTCACGACATAATCATCGACGATCTTCTGTTCCGTGACCCGTTTCAAAGAAGCCCTCGACTTTTCAACGAGAGGATTATCAGTTTTCTCAAGCTTTACGCATCGAACGCAACAAAGCGTGCTACGGCATAAAATATTTTTTAAAAAGCAAAAGTTCTTCGTAATTCGTTAATATCGATTTTATACATTTTTTTTTACGTATACTATAGCTGCATTTTCCGTAGCTTTAATTTCGTTGAAAGCGCAGAGTTTCCCTTTATCTATCTCGATCATTTTAATTGTTTCGTTGTAGAATTTTGCCGCAATCTTCGCTTAGATCTCTTCGGCTTGTCATTCGTTAGTCAGCCGTTAGTCACCGATTTGCAACGCGCTACGTTAGTAGAAGTCTCGCTAATTCTTATTTCCACGTGTCCGTAAAAACGTATCCTTTCTGTTCGTTGAACGACAATGGAATTTAGCGCAAGACTTGTTTGTCTACGTAAAAATTTCAACGATTTTTCTTCCTGTAAACTCGACTGACTGTAAATTCATTCGAAAGGTGTACTTTATTACTTTGAAAAACGAATATTTTAGACACTGAATATTTCCATTCGTTACATATACAATATTTTTATACATTACAATATTTTACGTCGTTTAAAATGTAAAAATAGTTACTTTTTACGATGCGGTGAAAACGAAAGATTCGTCATAGGTCACTGACGATTGACTGTACGACGAATATGTTAAATACGTACAGCGCTGTACGACTGGCGGTATTTACGACCGGTCTGCAGGTTTTATTCCACGAGTAACAGCAAGTGAACTAAAATTTGTCGTTCGAAGCACGTAGAAATCGCTACCACTTGGCCAACAACTAAATTGGTGACATCGAATAAATTAGTTAAGTGCGTGTGTACTCGACGAATATTCAAACTCGATCTTCTCGCAAACCAAGACTCGAAGAAAAAGATAATTGCATTTTTCCTCGACTTATCTTGGCTCGAGCAATCGTTTCCAAGCTAATCGCACCACCACCACCACCACCAACGCCGAGAGTTTCCGCGCGATTCCAAATTAAAACCAAAAGACGAACCAGGTAGCTACCTTCCAATGTTTTACTTCGCTTAGTCTATTCGCAAGGACGCATCCTGCCGATCCAGCTCCAACGATAACGAAATCGTACACTTTCGTTGGCAAGTTCGTCGCTTGCGGCGAATTCACGGTGATCTCGGTGTCCATGAAAATTTGTTGCGTCGCCCGTAGATTATAATTTTGGTCGTTCGGTTGGTTTTTCAGAGTCAACGAACGTGAATGTCCGTTCGTGGCATCGTTTATCCATCGTGGTTGATCGTACGTTTTTCCTGTAAAAATTAGCATCGTAAATTAAAAAAATATGTATTCGAGTTAAGCAGTAAACGATTAAAGAATTTTTTTTTGCTTTGAATTTTCACTCTGTTATGTAAATGTTTTTTAGATACTACATATATGTTTACATTCTAACCTTATCGGATTATTAATTGCAAAATAAACACGTTAGACAAATACTTTCACTTACATAGTAGCTATTTGAAATGTTCCGACGTCGTTATCTTGTGTCAACTTGCATATAAAATAATGCTAAATAATTTCATACTACGATTCAAACGTTACATACGCGAATTTTAATCAAATCGAATTTCATTAAACGACATAGAGGAAGATAAAACGCGAAGAATAAAATATTCATATTCCAAGAAAAACGTCTAATTTCCTTCGTTCTACCACTTTCCACGATTTTTATCTCACAATCGGGAAGAAAGGGTGAAATCTGTGCAGTTGCCAAACAAAAACACATAACGCGCATACAAAAATCGATCGTTCTTTACCTTTCTCGGCAACAAAGCCATTGTAAATCGTAACCGGCGTGTCGATCGGTCGATCCACGATTCCCGTTCGTCGATAGAAATCGTAAATTCCTGTTAAATTCGCCACCGACCAACCTATTTTAGCGTTAACGGCCTGGCTGTCGTCGCTTTCATCCTTGGCTCTCGTTAAAGTTCCACGATCGTACCAAAGTACCGAATCGTAAACTCCGCTCGGTGATTTCATTGACGCAGGATCGTCCTGCAACGAAATCTTCCGGCCGTAAATACCATCTTGCCGCGAGCCTGCGAAATATTCTACGCTGGCTTTTGGTTTTCTCGATTCTTCGACTCGATCGAATTTCCATGGTGAACTCTGAGAATCGAAATCATCGAACGAATAACGATAAGAGTCTTTCGAATAACCGAAGAGATGAGCGACGAGCGTGAGAAACATGAACGTAGGTGGTTGGCAGGTTGATACGGTGGAATGGGGCGAACACAGGCTCGCTAGATCCGGAGGCACCCACGACATCGTTTCTCGATCTTTTCGATGGTTGGCTTGACCGTCGAGGAGAACGAATTGGATGCTACGTATTGGTTTTGACGACGTGTTTGTGCAGAGTAGTTTCTGGGCAAAGGAATTCTAGCGGCAACGACTGGATAGGAGAAGTCGACCGATAAATGTAGATACAAATTTTGCTAACAGGTATTCGATCGTTCGAAAGGACGAAAATATCTTCTTTCGTTTTACTTTGGAATTTCTAACGTTTCCGATTTTCGATCTACGTAGGCTCTACAATTTTATAATTAGTTAAATTACGCTTACGGTTGTAAAAGTGTGTAATTCGATGTGATAAACGGAAAACGTGAACGACGATTGTATTTCCTTCTATCCTCTTCCAATGCAGAGCCGTTTGTGCCCAGTAGCAGAAGAAAAAGCTTCCGAACGTCGTTTAAACCACAAAGGGTTGGTTGTATCGCCTTCGTCGTTTACATATGGGAACGAAGCAACGACACGGGGTGATTGCCATTCGTTCTTCAAAAGCAGTCGTGTTTTTAGCTCGTTAAGTGCTACCTGTCACTAATATCCTCTTTATGGTAAAAGTCTTTAAAAAAAGTTATTCGTTGGTCGATAATTTATTACTTAACTTTATTAGTTTATTTATTACTTAATTGATGACAGGCACGTGGCTTCTTATTCGAGTTACTTTCACGCGAAAGACGTTAATATTAGATTGCATAAACTTACATTAGCACTTCCAGAAAACGCGGCGAATCAAGCGTTTCTAAAGTAAACCATCGTCGTTGGGTCGAAGCAAAACATAAGCGAAGAAAAGACGATATTTCGAATTGTTAATTTTACACTATCGAATTCACTTTCCGTCAACTTTTTATACATACGTTACGCGGTAAAGCCCGTTTTTATCGCGTTAAAGCTAAAAACTATCGAGTATATGGTAACATTAAAACACTGAAACACTTATCCGGAACCCAGGTGAAAACCGTCGTACCCGACGACTCGGTTGAACGTCGATATACGAATGGATGCAACCCAAGGCTCGGTTGGCCACGGGAAGGGTCTTTGTTACGGATATCGCTGACCATCGACGATTGATTTGAGAAGGAAAGTGGCAGCCTGGTTCTTGTTCTTGTCGGAGATCGACGGAAATGCAGGCGATGGCGTTGTTTCTTGCGACGTCCCCCTGTTACCCCGTACTTTTTGCAACGGCTCGGAGTGTTGCACGCTTTCATTTATTAGAAAAGTCATTTCGCTTCGTTTCCTGGTTAAAGCCTTGCGAAATCCACACCTCCTGCTTTTCATTTACTATCATCATAGACTAGATTCTACGAAAGTTGGATTTTTCGTGAACGAACGAGTAGAGTTGCGAACGAATCTCATGGAATGGTTCGTAGTTACAAATTTTCACCGAATTTCGATTAATTTGCTACCACATAAAACGAAGTTCGTTCTGCTAGATATTTTGTCGTAAATGATGCCGATTCTTTAACGAATAAATTCTTTACGACTTGCCCTGCATGTCGACGAGTTGTCGTTGTCACGGGTAAAACGTACTGGTATTGAGACGTAAGTGCGTTCACCGAGTTGCAAAAGAAGCGTAAAATGCATCGGAATGTTACGATGCAATTACCTGCGAATTGCAGTTCTAGAACAGAGAAACGGTCGTGTGACGCAGTTTGAAAATTGTTCGCAAGTTACACGGTAAGTGAACCATTCGAATACTTTGAATTATCCTATTTGTTAAAAATAGTGATCGACGAATTTCTTGAAGTTAATTTTATTACTACGTTTTACAGTACGCGATACAGATTGTTATTATCGTTGTTATTATAATCAGGAGAAAAATAACTTTCGTGTAATTTCGTGGATTATTAATTGGTTTCGTGCTTTTGCGTGTTTCGCGTATCGAACTCTATCGGACTCTAACGATACTATGAAACACATCGTACATTAGCCAGACCTTTTACAGTTCCACGTGTACTCTTGTCCCCCAATCCTCCTTGATCATATCCGCTCCCTTCTCGGCGATCATCATCGTCGGTGCGTTAATGTTTCCGCTAACGATGTTTGGCATGATCGACGCATCGATCACTCGTAACTTGTCGATACCGTGTACTTTCAATCTGGCATTCACGACGGCCCTGGGGTCGTTAGACGGTCCCATTCTAACCGTGCCAGCCGCGTGAAACAACGAAGTAGCTACGTGTCTGATACTGCATTCCCAGTATTCGGTAGAATCGGGCTGCGTATGCCGGCATCCGGGAATATCGAAATGTCGCAACCACATACCGTGCTTCTTCATCGTTTCGGTATTCAACAAAGACTTGACAGTGTCGACGGATTTTAACAACGTTTTCAGGTCCTCCTGTTCGGTTAAATAATTCGCGTAGATCTTGACAGGGTCAGCTGGATCGACGCTGCGCAACTTTACAACTCCTCGACTCTTAGGATTCAATAAAACAGTGCAAGGAAAGAGCACGTCCGACTCCATGATGTTTTTTTGCGTTTCTCGTATCAATTCGTCGTTAAACGCAAACGTCGCCATTAGAGATCCTACTTTGACCGGGTTCCAACGTGGAAAATGGCCAAAGTGGAATTCAATGTCCGGATACACGGAACTAGGATCGTTGACATTGACAAAACCGAGAAGATTGATCCCTGTAGCGGCTAATTCTCCGGAATTGTGCGCTAGATATTCGTAAGTTGCGTCCATCAAAAACGTTGCAGATGGTGGCACTGTCGATTCGTTCACGTAAGCTATGTGCATTCCTAACCAAACGATATGATCCTGAAGATTTTCTCCGACCGGTAGATCGGCCACGGTCGGTATTCCCATTTCTGTCAGATGTTCCTTGGGACCGATTCCCGAAAGCATCATTATTTGAGGACTAGCGATGCTTCCCGCGGAAAGAATCACCTCCTTCGATGCTTTTACGTCGATCGATCGACCATCCTTCGAGGTGACGCGAACACCGGTCGCTCGATCACCTTCCAATAGAATCTTGTCCACCCTACTGGATTTCATCACGTACAGGTTCTTTCTGTCCTTGATGGGAGATAGGAAAGCTTTGGCGGTATTAACGCGACGCGTATTTTCCATGGTGCCCATTGCTCTACCGAATCCAACGAAACGATCACCGATCAGTGGTTCGAGAACGTTGAATCCTAACTCGTGTGCGCTATTTAGAACGATGTCTAGGATGTTTGTTATGGAGTAATTGTCGTGTCTGATGTTCATCGGCCCACCGATTCCGCAATACTTTTCCCCCCACTTAGCTATATGTTCTGCCGGACAATTCAAAGATTTCTTGAAGTACGGAAGCACTTCCTTGTAGCTCCATCCTTCGTTGCCTAGACTGGCCCATTTGTCGTAGTCCCTGTCGTTCCCAAACACGTGTATCATGGCGTTGATGACGGAACTACCACCAAGAGCCTTGCCCTTCGACCATCTGCATTGCTTATTCGTGCTACCCTGACACATACCTTCTTGAGGCTCCACCTGTGAACAGAAACGGTTGATCGAAGGTACGTCAAGGGCACACCTCGAGACCAAGCTTACCCAGAGAACTTCTCGTTCTTCGTACTTTTCTTCCTTCGAAGACAAAAACTTGCGAATAATTGTACTCGTCGATGAAACTAACTTTTGCCGTGATTGGTTTAGCAACGAATCGGATCGATTTCCCGAGCGTTAATTTACTTTAATTTTCATACCTTGTAAGAATAGTCCTGAACCTGGCCGAGCAACGTTACGAAGAGACCGGGAACGTCGGTAATGGGATTAGGATCTTCTCCAGCTTCGATCAGTAGAACCTTCCAATCCATTACTTCCGTCAATCTACGAGCAAGGATAGTACCCGCCGTTCCACCTCCCGCGATCACGAAATCGAATTCTCTTTCCGAAACCAAAATCTCTTCCGTCCGATCGATTGGATAGTCCCCGTTTTTGCTTAAAGTACACAGGCTTGCCAACAGTACTTGTATGAAATGAGTAAAAATGGAGCCTGGCGTTGACGATAACGCTGCCGCGCAATTTGCGCTCATACACGACTCCATGTCCTATTTTTTGGTTGAGCGCTATCGGCGCCTCCTAAAATTATAAAGCAAAAGTGTAAAATTGACAGAAAATTATCGCATTAGATAATGACGTTAAAATTCACTTATAGACTTATATAATTCCAACAACTTCTTGACTAGAAACATACAATTAAATTCGATCGATAGCTAGAGTAACGAGGTGTTGTACGCGACGCACGCTTCGATGTCGAAGGTTCAGAAAATGTATAAAGACTGACTTTCTGTAAGGATGATGCAACGGAGGACACTCGCGATAAGTGGATCTAATGACGCGAGAAAAGCTGATTTGTTAAGATCAAGTTCTTGTTGGGTGAGTGAGGGAAGGACTTCTCTGGTAATTGGTTAATTTTCTAGATTGATGTGGAAGGGTGGGGAAAAGGTGTTAACCCCGAGAGAAAGTTGCTAGTGTGAAACATCGTACATGAGAAAAACGAACTTCTCCTGTCTTTCCGTAATAAAAAAATAACCTTTAGACAGAGACTCGGTGCAGATGTTTGGTTCGGTCTGAAGAATCTTAGAAATTCCTAAGATTCATGACCGGTTTTTAAGACTATCGAAAATACGCAGTGAAGGGCGTGCGGACATTTGGTTGCCATCCTGTGAGCGGTGTGTGGCCTGGTCTAGGTAGAATGTCGCCCGACGTAACAGATGGTTCCGTTTCGATGCGATAATTTTGTAGAAACATGCGGTATTCTTTCATTTGAGAAACGTATTTAACATTAATTGAACGTATTTCGATGTAGGCGACCGCATTTTTACGTAGCCTGATCTAAACTTATTCGACGTGAGAGATAATTATTTTTCATATATATAACATGTTTATCTAAATTTGCCTTCAATTTATCTATAACAGTTATAAAATAAATAGTTAGATGATACACGTATAGCGTTAAACATAAATTGCTTTAGAAGTTGAAAAGGAACGCCGAGCGACGGTCATACGTGTAGAGAAAAAGATTTCCCGAATGCCGATACTGACAACACGTTTCACGCTCTATACTCGATAATTATCAAATGGATTTTCACAAAATATCAAATATTTTCAAATTTAATTACCAATATAAAATTGTTGGAACGAACCAATAAGAAATCCGGTTCGACCTCGCACTTCCTCTGTAGCTCCCGGCTCGAGTATGAATTACTTTTGATGTCGACACGTCGTTCGCGCGCTATTTATGCACATTATTTTCTATCTTCTTTTAGTTTATTTCCTGATAAATCGTAATCTTCACGCTTTCTGAATAATACAGCGATATACGAATACATGTACGTACAATGTCGAGCAAAAGTTTTCGGCCATAGTTTTCTCACTTTATATTTCTAATCTGACATTCTTTAGAATTATAACTATTTAATATTATACGATTGTATAACGATATTCGTGTATTATATTATTTTCTTTCGATATTACTTAAAATTCTGTTAGATATCGTTGTTCGAATATAGAAATGAAAATTTGTTTCTTCTTCGAAAATTGTTGCTCGTGTGACATCGATCGCATCTCAACCTACATCAGTGATAAGACATCGACCGTCAACCTTAGGGCACTTTTGGACACATCATTACCTTATCATCGTAGCATACACCAAGACTGTGACGCACCTTAGTCCACATCAGAGATAGGATATGGACCTCCGACCGCACACTTTTCCACATCATAGCCTACTCAATTCTACCAAATGTCCAAATTGCACAAATTTTGAATGTGATATTTTAAATAAAAAAAAAAAAAAAAAAATCATAGCCTACACCTAGCCCCTCAACATCCTAAAACCAAAACGTATATAAACCGAGACTTCACCCAATTCGGGCAGTTCTTGTTCCTCTTCTAATTGCTGTACTCGTACAACCCCTATTCTCCGGTTCGGTGTTATTTTGTAAGTGTTAACATTTATAATAGAGTTTTATAAAGGAAAATTAGTAGTTGGGGTACGACTCGGCCTTCTTACTACCACCCAAGTACCAACTTTACGTGACACTCGAAACACCGCTCTGCTTACAGACGTTACTTAGCCTTGAATTCCATGGGTTGCGTAGTATTTTGACGCAAAGAAATTATTTGAATACTTCTCGTACGTACTGTACTACGTTGCTCAGGTATAATATCGAATAAATTACCGATAAAAGTACAATATTATTGATATATTCGAAAAGCTATATGAGAATGAGATATGAGAAAGATATGTGAAAGAATATTAAGTACACAATTGTATATATTATTTAAAACTCTTTAAAACATCGCTTTTATAATACAAAATAAGCAGCCTATCCGACCGGAAACTTTTGCATGATACTGCACATATCCACAGAAATTCGGCGAGGTTCTCGACAAACGATTCGGATCGGCAAAAGTCAACTAGACTTTTCATAGAACATGTAAACATCGGTACATGTCGAGTTTGATCCGAAACGTGAAACGTAAGACGATAAAACGTAATACACGTAATACGATATTATTTGTTCGATACGAATGACGAGGTTAACTTTTTTTTTTTATAAATCTCTATTTCTCGTATATTCGAACACAGGTGTTTACGTATATTACACGCATCTGCACCTGGAGTCGTGTATTTTTTACTTCACTGCACTATCTCACTTGTACGTGTGTCTTTTTACTCCATGTACTATACCGTAATGCTTACTGTATATTCTCGTCGTATGCGTAAAATACATATACCGTGATAAATAACGAAACATTTTTCTATAATGTAACTGTAGAGTAGAAAAAGTGACACGATATAAGTGAAATGTTTTGAAATTAGAAGGGCATGCGAAAGATTTCTACTGCTAAAGGATAACTAGATAAAAGGACCAACTTTGTTTTTTTTTTTTTTTTTAATGGAATGTTACATTTTCATTATTCGTAAATGATAGTCACTTTGAAAAAAATTCATAAAACACAACCGATACTAATGCTAATTGTAAATATTCGAAGGCCAGCGAAGATCGAATAAACAAAGTCTTTTGCAACGTCATAGAACTATTTCCATTATACACTGGTCCCTACGGAAGTGTGCAACTTCTATAGAAAACGTTTGTTCGAATTTTGTATTACAACGCATATACATGTATATATTTCAGATGATAATGTTAAGTGGTACATCTTGTATATACATATATACATACATACATTAAAGATCTTATCGCCTTCTTTACAGCTTTTAAAAGAATTTTCAACATAAAGGATTTGTTCGCCTTACAATAGACGAATGGTTATCGAAAACATGCATAATTTCTATCGATAATACCAGGGTCGTCCAGAAAGTACCGCCCGTTTACATATAGAAGACATAAAAAAAACGATGACTTACAGAAGATCGCCCAGTTTCGTTCATATATTGACACAAGTCGTACAAAATTTTGTGTTTGAATACTCGATATCGTCGTTGTATCGCGCGTTTAAAATGACGATGCGAATTGAAAATCCCGGCGACGGCGCTTTTACGTTTTTACGCTTTTCAAAAGCTGAAAAAATTCTTCCAAATGGAATTCACCATATTGACGGTAATAGAATTATGGATGAATTATTAGATAAGACCGTGGTTGCGGGCAAGTCAATAGAGACAGAAACTGCACGTGATCGTAAGTATTCAGTCCAGCCGTCTCTCGTTACAGAGAAAAATATGTTTGGTCCATGATGCTCCGCAAGAAAAGATGATTTAAAGAATTGCGTAAGACGATACATATGCGAACTGACGTACAAAAGGTCGTAGAACGTTTCGATAAGCGTTGGAATAAGGCTGGCGGTTGTATCGAAAAGTATACGAAAGGTATATTGGTATATTTATGTCGGAGAGGGAAGAACACCGGAGCATCTAGAATTTGGGATAATCGCGCAACAGCGTACTCCAGGGTCTACTATAGCTGTAATTAAGCAATTGTAGTTAGTTGATCCGATTGTAAGCGTTCGAGACTAGTGATGGTGAGCTTTGGCTCGGGGCAACGGTCCGTCGCCCAACGTAGCCGCGGTCAACGGGACGGGCGCTTCGTCTAGCAAAGGTATAGAGCGATAGTATGACCCTCGTTACAAGAAATACCCATAGAGACAATGAATACCAGGGGTTGAGGCACTTGCACGGCACGAGTACAGTTAGCTTGAAGACTCGTTATAAAACCTGGATTTTTCCGGTAATTAAGACTTTCCTAACGGACAGGCAGCTTTTGTCCCAAATTGATCAATTGGGAGCGATGTCGACGAATCCGAGGGTCCCGTGTCCTTAGACACACCCCAACACAGTTTGGCTCGGCGGCATCCTCGGGACGAGCGGTCACTCTTTCTTGAGATCTGATCGACGAAGGGAGTAGCGCCTTACGATCAGCGAGCAGTACACGTTTGAGTTTTAGCAAGTATATATATCACCCCGTTGACCGCGTATTCGTTATCGAACCCGAGACCATCGTCGCTAGTGTCGCGAGCATCTAACCGCCGGGTTGATTGCCGGCTCTGTACTCTCCATACTTGTGTTAATAAACGATGTTCTTGTGATATCGCAACGATGGCTACCCCTCAGGGGAATTCGTCGAACACCCTCGACCTGATCCTCAACGCCACCCCGACATATAGGAAAGTTGGAAAGCAAGAGATCTTTTTAAAATGCATTTTTATCGTTGCTATCTGAAAACGGGCATTACTTTCTGCACGACTCTCGTATAACATCGCGTAAATGACAGGCGAGGCTGACTCGTTTTTGATACGTATCGGATACGTATTTTGAATTTATCAACGGTCGATTTTTCAAAGTGGCCGATGTATCCGTGCGAGATATACCGTTATTCGCCAAGAAACAAGGTATCGTAAACATTTTTATTCGTATCCGAAACGAGACGAATATTTCTCAAATCGATTCGTCGTCGTTTCTATAAATAAAATTTCCGAAATGAAATAAACGGGATATCAAGTAAAAGATATATTTGAATTATCATATTTGAAAAATTGTCCACAAAATAGGCTCGAGTCTATTCTACAAATATTTGCATCGCTCGACACCGATCATAAATTATTTGCTCGTCGTTATATACAGAGTAATAGTTGCACATTGATTATTTGAAAATGATAAACTCGTCGTTACTCATCCTGTCATATATGGCACACAAGTGTATTAGATGATACGTCGCATCTTTTAAAGTTGGCTTAAAAATTTCTCAAATTCAATGTTGACCAAATTCGAACGATTTAAAGATCGCATCGTGGTGACGCGAGCAATGTTCGGTAAGGAGGATTTTCGTCATTGATATCTTCTGGAAAGATAGCACTCGCATAAGAACGTTTTGCAACAAACGGGACATCGCGCGAAATACCATACGACAGGAGAATCGAGAAAAGAGAAGCGTGGCATCGACCTTTTCCGACGCATCTTCGAGTTCTCACATCTTCGACCATGTATGCGTGATCATGTCAGCCGCCTTTTCCGCGATCATCATGATCGCTGCGATGGGATTACTGTTTGGCACGATCGGAAACACGGATGCGTCCGCGACTCGAATGTTCGATATACCACGTACTCGTAGCTCTGGATCGACGACGGCCGTTGGGTCGTCGTACGCGCCTACTTTGCATGTCCCCGATTGATGGTTCTCCGGTCCGGTCGCCGCTCTCACGTAGCACTCCCAGTACGCGTCAGTGGCGAAGTGATAGCTGAACCAAACGAATTTCACGTTAGTATCAATTACGCGAATTGACGTGGAATCTTTGAACGTTTCGCTTTCGTCCGTGATATACAGGGTGGTCCGTAATTCATGGTACGAATATAAGACAAAAGAATACGACAAAAACGAAGAATCGCAAGATTTGCAAAGAGCACGTAAATTTGCTTGATTCCGATTCTAAACGGTCAATAGAATTCGATCGATTCTAGCGAAGATGTAGAATAAATGTAATATAAAAAGGTAGAATAAAACGTGTTCGTCCGATTCTCGAGAAAGTCGAATTTGAAAATTTATCGACGTATTCGAATTCTATCTTCTCGAGAACGGGACTTCGAGGCTTTAACGAGAACGTTCGTTGCATGAATTACGGGCCTTGCCGTATAACGCTGTCCTTACTTGGTGCAAAGGGGATGAACGATAGGTTCCAATCGAAAATCCCATTGTTTCATAGTCTGCGTGTTGGTGAGCTCGATCGCCTTCCTAATACCCTCGATCAACACCTTCAAATCCTTCGTGTGGGTAAAGTAGTTGGGGTAAATCAAAGGTGGTGCGATCGGGTCGCCGGAACGCAACTTCATGTATCCCCTGCTCTCCACGGTAACAGCCGTCGGCCTGACCACGATCTGCCTTCTGTCCGAGCATAAGCCAAGCGCGCCGTTCAAACACTCGAATTCGAGTCCGGTCCTTGGACAGTTTGGCGCGAATCCGTCGAAGAACATCTGGATATCGGGTACTCCGCTAGCGGCGTAGCTGCTCTCGAGGAACGCCGTCACTTGGGTCAATCCGGTACTGCTCAACGGACCGGTTCTGGTCTCCAAGTATTCGTTAACGCTGTTCATGTTCATAGATTCGTACGCGGTATCCTTGATACTGAAGAGAACCGCAACCGACACGTGATTGTGAAGATTCTTTCCTACAGGCAGGTCCTTGATCACGTTCATGCCCAATTTGGTTAAATGCTCCTTGGGTCCTATCCCGGAGTTCAATAGAATGTGAGGGGAGCCAATCGCTCCAGCCGCTAGAATAACTTCCTTGTTAGCTTTCACGATCCTCTTATATCCATCTTTATCGATCAGTTCGACGCCGTACGCTTTGCTCTGCCACTGATTCGTTAGAACCTTCGTCACCTGGGCGTTGATCAACACCCTTAGATTGTTTTTACCGTACGCCGATCTCAAGTAATTTCTCGAAGTCGTGCCTCGTACGCCATTGTCGGTCGTCATGGGAGCCACCATGAAGCCTGTCTGACTGTATTCCTTCAAGTTCGACGTTCTGTAACCCAGCTCGGCCGCGGCTTTCAGAAGTTCGTCGGCGAAGGCTGGCTTGTGAGGATAAAATCGAATCTTCATCGGACCTGGTACGGCAACGCTTCTAGGTTTGTCGGATAATATCGACGGATCTACGGGATCTTCGGCGCGTTCGAAGTAGTGGGCGACTTCGTCGTAGGACCAACCTGTGGCGCCTGCCCGAGCCCAACTGTTGTATACTTCTGGGTGCCCTCGTACGTACATCATTCCGTACATGCCGGCGGTACCGGACATCATCTTCCCTCGCGGCCAAGTGCACACTCCGTCGGTTTCTGCCGGTGATACGTAAAGTTAGAAAGGATAGAATTCCATTACTTCCTCGAACAAGAACGCAGATCGGTTACCTAAACACGCGGTCGGATGGGGCTCCGTTGGCTCCGTTTTGAAATTCCAATCCAAAGTCGAATTGACGGCGTGAACCGCGAGTCCAGGAATAGAAGTCATCGACGGTTCTTCCGGCCCTGCTTCGATCAGGAGAACCCTCCACCAAGGATTGTCGCTCAATCTCCTGGCAATTACAGGCCCGGCTACTCCGCCGCCGACCACGATAAAGTCGAACCTACGTTTTCGACGATCGTATCGATGATAAATTGTAAATTAACGTTTCGTACGAGATCCTACTTTATCGTCGATTCAATTGCGATTTAATTTTACAACTTAAAACGTGCGATAAACCCTTGTTTCAGGTTTCCATGCAAGTTTAAATTAGCGGAAGGATTCGATCGCTGCAAGCCGACGTAGAGAAGAACGAAAGTTTAACGAATTGAGCGAACGATTTAAAATTCGAAGAATTTAGAAATAGAAAAAAATTAGTCGCGAAGATTTTACCATTCGTTGGGCACTTCCTCTTTGCCGAGTCTGTGGCAAGGATCCGACACGTCGCACGTAGACGCGATTATTTTCTCGACCAAGCTCATGAAAGATGTTTTCACGCCGCACTTGGACGCCATGTACGACGTGTCTTTGAAGCTGCAGGAGCAACACGATGTTCCATTGCTCGTATCCAATAGGCTAGCCTGAAACTGGTTAACGAGGTGTTTAATTAAATCACTTTCACTTTTGTATGCCTTCGTGATTTAACCGCGCTGCTGTGCTCGTATCCCTGTTCTTCGCAGATAGACGAAGAAAAAGTAAATTTCGTACGAATCGATGTAAAACAAAGATTAAACGCGAGATTGTCGCGAAGCGAAAGTTACTCTGCATTCGAGAAAGAGAAAAGGAGTATTCTAATCGCGATATCGTCGCAGCACGGTTGATATTAACCAAGGATCGTTGAACGTGCGCGGAGTAATGTCGTCGACATTATATTAAGAATTCGCCAAAAGTCAGACATTTCCTCGAGTCATCCGCATTTAGAATCGCATCGGACACGTTCTGTCTACGGCGAGATTATGTTTCGAATTCTCGTGCTCGTGGCCTCGCCTATGCATCGCCATGACGATGCTCGGGTTCGAAGGACCATCCAAAATATAATTATAACCATGTACAAGGGCGTTTGGTTCATAAATTTTCCATAGAAGCTCGTTTCTTTCCACTACAGCCGACATCGATCTGATCGATCGTTCTTCGTTCGACGTCTTCCTTCCGACTAGAGATAATTACGATAGGTAGGCTAGTTTCGAGGAAGATAAAACCTGATCGACTTTCGAGTCACCATCGCCGATGGAGGATTAAACTGCATGAAATATAGGATAGAGATAAAATATAGAGAGAAAAAAATATGTATGGAAAGAGAAATATACGCGAAAAGAAAGGCGCGCCGCTGTCTACTAGAACATCGTTTGTCAGTATCAACGGGTCGCGAGCTTTCGAGTTTCCTTTTGGGGATAATCGCCGATATCGATCGATCGGGACGGCTCTATTTACCGGAAATGGGAGTCGAAACGCGAATGCCAATTGCACCAGGAGCGAGAGCAGCACGTACGCTCGCATTTTATCCAATTAGAGGTCGGTATCACCTGCGAACAGAAAGCAACAGAATTCGAGTCAATGTGTCAATGCTAAGTTTGCGTGTAATTTAGTATCGGCGGAACGCAACGGAGAACGTCGCAGCTGCTACCAGCGGTACGATTCAAACTAATTTTATCGATACGCGTTAATATTTGCTGGTTTATCGTTGGATCGCCTGAAAGAAAATACGCTTCTTGTTCGAACGGTTCTTGCATTTATGTTGCTTTGGAAGAAATTGACGCGTACCGGCAGTTCGAACTCGATAGTTTTCATCGATCCGATCTATCAAACCTTGCTTATCTTTCACGCAATTTAATCACACAGTCGATGCGTCGACTAACTTTTAGAAGAATCGTCGATACCGTTTAAATGCAATTCTTTCATACCGATGTTGGCGCTTACGCAACTTTTACGCGTTATTTCATCGTTTTCCTCGATGAACTAAGACGAACGCGCGGTTAGCGAAAATTACGAGTATCGCGTGAAACGCGAAATAACTTTCAACGTGAAAGTCTATACGGTTGAAATTGAACGAATTACGGTTTCATCGATGCCGTCACGAACGAAAAGTCGTCGAGTCGAAGTTGTTTCGTCGATGATAAAGCGCTAGCGCGTACGAACGAGGAAGGTAACGGTTGTAAAATTGTAAAATCTGACCAGTGTTTCGCGTGAAAGTGACGATCTCGAAACGAGACGATAATCCGTAGCGTTGTGCAGGTAGCGATGCGCGTTCGACTCGAATCGATTTTCTAGCGATTTCAACGTACAGCGACGGACGAAAAATAGTTTATAACACATCGTTGTATGATAATTTTGGGAAACGGAATTCTATTTTACGAGAACGACGAGTAGACGATACGTGTAACGTACGATCAGAGAGGAAAAACGAATCGACAGATAGGGGAAATAGGTGTCGATGAAATTTCGTTAAACGTTTAACTTTAACTTCGTTGCCACGTACTTCCTCTACCTATCCACTTATCCTCTCCGACTGTATATCCTGAAATAGACGATCCTAACTAACATGGTAAAAACTATCTAACACAAAGTTACTAATACCTATATTCGCGTTACAGTTTTAAACCTTCTTTCAACTACGACTGTGTTCGAAGCGACGCAAAGCATATCGACGAAAGCCGATAGATCGTATAATCACATCGGAGGATAAATCATACGCGATCGCGGGTCTGGTTCTTGCACGCTCGAATCGATTCGCGATATGCTCTCAGTGCGTGAAAGTCCCGACAGCTGACGAGCAATTAATCGTGTCTGGTTTGTGCAAAATTGTGGTGTGCGGACTTTCGAAAGTCGCGACGGAAAACGGATGTTTTTGACGGAACGTACGACGAGCGAGGTTTGGAAGCGAGTTTGATAACGTTTGGTAAAATTGTTTGCGCGAAACAGATGCCACATGGGAGATAGGATAACGTCGTTACCGCGGAGGAAGTTAGTGTCCAGCGATGAGAATAGTATCGGGTATACCGTGAAAGTTGGTAACGTTGTCGGAATAAATTTTTATAGCGCGTCGAGAAATGCGCGGCATATGGAAAATGGTGCTCGTAAAATTTGACTGACAATGACGATGAATAAAATATACGTTCGCGGTATTTGCATACGTATATCGCTAGAAGCGTTCAAGGTAACGACTAGATATTCTATTGCATTATCATACGAAGCGAACATTACGAGATAAAGAATTTTTGAGAAAAGAAGAATTCGTACAGGAAGCGTCTTTATCAAGTTCGTTACAATTATATCCCATTTGTCCCGTTGAATTTTAAACTATCGCAAGCTCTCCGCGTACACCCACTTTCCCTTTCACCACGACGTTCAACAGCCCCACTCAACCTTCGGATAAAATAGAATCCAAGTACACGTTATCCCTCTATGTATTTAAAGCCAAACCTACTACGCAAATATTCTTCCATTGCTGATTGTAAATCCGACGAAAACGACTGTAGTCGCGAGGCAAGACGAAAATATGTTCTCGAATAGAACTAGATCAGTGCGTTCTCGATCCGTGTATTTGTATAGACGTTTCGCGTTGTTTCTCTCGTTTACTTTGTTCGCCTTCCGTTTTCCATTCTTCCGTTTCGATTTTAACAACGTAAAATAAAAAAAACACGTTCGTGACAAAAAACGCGCGTAAAGTGAAAAATACATGTTCGATTCGGCCGAGTCTTCTTCGAAAACGAACTTTGAAAACGCCACCCCCTCCCTTAGGTCGAATGAAAAAAAAAAGAACCGTAATCCCTTTTATTCCGTTTGAACGAAAGATCTAAAAGTAAATCATCGTTTCGAAAAGGCGAGAGAGTTTACCTCGTGAGATCTATCGAAAAGAGAAGAATATTTCACTTTTCGGGAAAGAAATAACGAGAAGGAAAGAAAGAATGGTAATCTGACGGTTAGACAAACCTGAAGAATCGTCCAAAGGGAAGCGGCGCGCAGTAGAGGAGGCCGATAGTGGCTCGTGGAGCAGAATTCGAAGACATTTGGGCGGCTGTAGCGAGTAGGGAGCGCGCGCGCGCGTGATAGTCCTTTTGGTCGGGAGCAACACAAAGAGGAGCTTCATCCGAGACGGAACGGAGCGGTCGTGAGTCTGCGGCGCGCCGCGTGAAAGCCTGACGCAGAACGGCAACGATTCATCTATTTTGACGACGCGACGGGGTACAGTTGGGCAAGAGCCGCGGCCGTGGCCACACTAGACGGGCTAATTAAAGAGGCTCGACGCACCGTGAACTGGAAGGGAGATCGCCACTCGCTCTCTTCCGGAGAAAGAGCCTGACGTCATCCAGTCAGTAAACCGCTCGAATGCGTCATGCGAAATGAAGTCGGGGGACGGCACGAAAGAATCGCTTGAAAAACGTGTTTCGAGAGGGAGGACGGATAAACAAGGCCGTACGGAGGATCGACCGAAGGGACGGTGGCTTCTACCGCGTGAAGAAGTTTCGCGTTAGTTTAGCGCTTTCGTTCCTATAGACCTTCCTATGGACGTTCCTTTTTCCACCACCGATACGATCGTTCTATTCGTCACACGCCTCTCCGTTTTGTCTCGTTATCGACGAGCAAATGGTAAATTGCGTGGCGAAACTCGGTGACAATTTTCAAAAATTAGCCACCACGTTGGTATCGGTATTATGCCATCGGCGAATAACGACATTTTCGATACGAGATAATATCCTATCGCATCTGCGCGCACAGAATATTCGAAATATCCAAACGATGATATTCGCGCGATAGTGTTTTCGGCAGTGACACAAAGAGAGGAGGCTCGTCCAAGACAAGACGGAGAAGCAGTAGAGCGAGGCATCCCGCGTGAAAGTTTCAAACGATGGCGTACGAAAGATTTTGAAACACGATTCTTCGTGAGATTTGAAAACTTATTCTCGGCGTACATTTCAGCGATTTCTTTGCGATCAAAGATACAACGTGTTCGCGTCGTTGTAGAGATTTCGAATTCGAAGCTTCGCGGTACGTTGCGTTTTGAAGTTAGCGCTCCCAGAGTTCAGCGTGATCGACGTAAGAAGTTGGATCACGAACGAATAAAAAAAAATTGGCTCAACTTTTGACTTTTCGTGGTATTTTCCTGCGAACAAAGTTCTAACGACGCGACAAGTTCTTCTTACATATGAATTATCTAAGAACGAACGTTCTGATCGATGAACGGTTCATAGAAAGGAAGCACGTAATTCGCTCCTTTCTTTCCCATTGTCGGTGAAAGTCGGGTGAAAGAGAAAAAGGCAGACGATACGAATTATGCTTTTGTTAACAAGAAAAATAGGAAAACTTCATTAAAAAAAAAAAAAAATCACAAATTATACGAAAAGAAAGCATTCTACGGTAACAGGAAAGTACGGATTCGGTCGAAGGTTTCAAAACTGCGATCGATTCGAAGCGAAAATCAGGGTAGAGATATAAATGTACAAAGACGCGATTAATGTTAAACGATAATATGTAAAAACATTGAACTTACCACTGAGCGGTATGTAGAAAGGTTCGCTACACTCTTTCCGTGTATAGAATGAAATTGGACGTCCACACGACATTTATATGTATTTTTACGCTTAAATTAGATAGGTTATCGTCTACGTAAGCGAAATCACGGATAAATTACGTTATCGGTTAACTTCATTTTTTCTCACATCTGGATCTCGTACAACTTTTAATCCGATTTTGAGTGGAATCTCAATGAAAAGAGCAATTTGAAACAAAGATAAGAGAATGTACCGATATATCGCTGAAATACATATTTCGTTGCAATTAATCCGATTAAATGCTATTCTTCGAGCGAGCGTACTGCGTTGATCGGTCCATTAAAATCGCAAGTACCGTTCTATACCGTTTCGATTCTCAGGTTTTCCTTTCGTCCGTCGTTTCATCGGTATGAACATACGCGATTTATATATACCATACATACGCTATATCATAAAATCACAACTAAACTGTTTTTTTAATTCCGTTTAATATAATTATTCGAATCTCGCTTAAATCTAATTTGATTTTATCGAGTCTATATTAAACCATATAACATGTTTATTTAGATGTCATATCGTTCACGTTTAAACAACAATTATAGATTAAGAAGCTAGTAAAGATTAGGCTATCGAAGATTTTTTGCAGAAACGGAAGATTTCTGAATTACGTGCTATATGTCTCGCAAGATTATATATCTCGCAGATAAATTAATCGATTTACAAGTACATATATGTCGGTACTCACGTAATATGTCGCGATATCGGTGTAAATCGATCGATATTCTATCTGGTAATCGATTCCGAGTCGTTGCATTCGGAGACATTGTGTCTAATTGTACGATTTAATTACGCAAACAGCAAGTTCGGTTTTCGTTTATTTCTTCGAAACCGAAGCAATGTTTTGCTGCTACTAAACAACAAAAATCTTTTGTATCGTACGTAGCACACATGTGCACCACATGTAATTTCTACCGAAGATCGTGGGAGACGAACGCATTTATTTTTACGCTTAGTTTCATCTTCCGATCGGTCTACCACTTACGACTAACAAAAGTATCCGATTGTTATTGAATTTCAATTGCAACATCCTCTGAACAAACTACGCGCGTATCTTTTAATTAGGTATTTGCAAAATCCAATTTGCCGACTGTGGCACAAATCGCGAACAGAGGAATACGTATATTGTCTCTTGCTTCTCCGTCGATTAACAAAGAATAGTATTGCGTAAAAGAAATTTACGCGATGTGTGCGCAAACTTTTGCTTCCTGTAGTTGCAGAGAACTTTTCTAGGAGTTATACAAGTTTTACAACGATTCGCGCAAACCGGATTTACGAGGCTTGGTTAAGCAGAACTTGCCTGACGAAAGACGCGTTGCTTTTCGCGTAGAAAGAGAAAGCGAGATGACGATCGGGATGATTTGGAAAACGCATCGTAATGCTACCGATCGCGAAAGATATTTGAAAACTTTTCGTCGCTACTGCCGTTTCCGTTCTTTTTTGCGATTTAGCGACGTCGCTACTCCTTAAATCTGAAGGAAAATTCGAACGAAATCCTTACGGATCAAATTCGCTAGGCGTCAGATTCGTGTCTCCGCACTGCAGTTCTCATCTTTCGCAGTTCTCTCGTTCGTCCCTGTGCTTCGATCACAGCTCGCTTCAATTTTGCACGAATCACATATTCGCTTCCGTCCTTCGAATCCGTCGACCGCTCGTTTCGAACCGTTCTCGATCCTCGTCGCCGCGAACCGATTCGTAAAGCTGACCGACGATAAGGTCGGAGAAAAAAAAAGACTAAACCGGCAAGGAAATAAAAGGAAGAAAATACGCAAGATACCCTCAAATTCTTTCTTCTACGTTAACTTAAGCGTATCTTCTTCGACACGATCTCGCCTATCGTCGTCTACACACGGTATCCCTCCAAATATATTCCTAAGGCCCTCCAAAGTATTCGAACACACGTAGATAATCTTAACGAGTATATTACGTACGTTATACGGAACATGTTGAGATTTCGTTAACACCGATGTCACGAGATTAGACTACCACCGTTATATTCGCAAAATTTTCCAACCAATCTGAGATAAATTCATTTGCAAGCAGTCGATTATACTTTGTATTAACGGATTTCCATATTTAATAAGGCTATCCTTAACACTTATCGTATATTTAAGACGGTTGTCTCGTGCTGTACTAATTTTTCATACAAAATACACGCGTGCAACGATATCTTGTAATTTCTACATAGATTTTCAGACTAGTTGCGAATTTTGTCGATGTACCGATGAAACAACGATACGGTCGTATCCCATCGCAACGTTAACGAAACTTCAAAACGTTTTCTATAAAACGTACGATATGTACATGAAAGATTCGTGCGCCAACTGTTCAAATATCCTCGCGACATATAAAGCCTATACACGTTACAAACGTTACACTATGAGAAAGATGTGCCACGCGCCAAGAACGCGATCGCCTCGGCCGGTTTAAACGACGAAACTGACAACGACGCGAAGGATAGGAAAGAAGAAGGAGCCAAGAGAACGAGCGAAACGTGCGCGTGTCCCGAAGGAAAGCACGTGCGAGCGATCGTTCGGTTCGATAGACGCGGACAGACCGACCGCGAATCACTAAATCGCGTTCGGTCGTTCACGGTTTCACTCTTGTACCGATCCTGCTGAAAGTAGGACCTTAATCGACCGGGTACAGCGTTGGAAAATAGCGGCGCGTTTTCACGAACGAAAGTTACCTAGATCGGTCCGGGTGATGGCGAGTTCGAGAGATCGTCCAGCCTGTGCGAAACCATTGCAGTCATATCGAAAGGGGTGTAAAAGCGAGTTCGGTCTATAGGCTTCGATGGAACGCGATCGTAAAACGAGACGGAGGCTTTCACTGGTCTCGTAACAGAATATTCTGCAGCTACTTCGAAGATTCGACGCTGAAATTGCCGATCGACGTATACGTTGTCCGGCGATAATTTCGGATATCGTCTTAATCCGCCAAAGAGACACAGCGGATCTTTGATTAGAAAAGTCGAGACATCCATATCCTTCGAAATCTATTGCAAAACGCATTCGTCCCATTCGCGTGAAAGTATTCCTTGTGTCAAGTTTCGAAACATCAGCCCTGCCACCGTTCTTCAAAGTCACACGGTAGAACTCCATTTATCCGAGCGAAATTTCAGTTAACTTTTGCTAATTGCGTTCGCTTATATCGTTTCTATCGCTCGACGCGAGCGACTGTTACGTAAATCAACAGATGTAACAACATGGCCCGTCGACGAGTTCAGGCAAATGCAATTCCGCTGTATCAGGATTTCGATTTTAAATCGATCCGATTCTCGCTGCCGCAAACTGTTCTTCCTCGATTTTGAACGGATTTCCTTTCTTCTCCGCTCTCGCATCGAGAAATACCTTAAGACGCGACGTTAGTTGGAAGAGTTTCAGCGATGGACAGCCGTTCTTCGTTGCGCAATTCTCATTTTTGCGCCATATCCTTTTTATTGCCAACAAAAAAAAAATGCTGCATCAAATTACGCTCGTTTATCCTGATGTCTTTTTTGCGCCAATTACAATACACGCGGCAACGTTCGAGAAATTCCGTAGAATAATCCACTATCTCTGAAACTGTTACTTTAAACTTCGCTTACGTAAGCATCGTCGTATCCTCGAATCCAATTCACTTTGCCAATTAACTAATTATCGAAGCTGAGACTCGTGCGATAAGTGTAACGTACGCGATGCTGATCGCGAAATTCCCTTTAGTTCCCATTATCTACGCGGGTCGGTATCCGACACGGACTTTTACTCGCCAAATGAATTAGCTCGGACGATGAAAGTCAGCCTGTTAAACGTAGTCGATAGCAGCATGTAAATGACACGGATTAACGGTACGGTTCTTTTAAAAAATAGATAAATTCGTTCCTCTCTTCCTTGGTTCTATCTGCAAGTTCGACTGACGATTTAGAAGAAACGTAAACTTTAAGCGATATGGTCGTAAATGCAAGAGAACCTAAAGCTGTCGAATCGTTCGAAACGAAACGGAGTATCTCGTCGAAATCCACGCCACTTGTACTTTCCCTCGTTTCTAATTTTAAACGTTAGAACCGCGATCTACGACGTAGATCTAATCTACAACGATTGGTGCGCGGCAAGAATTTTTTAAACGCGCAACGCCTAACTATGATCGGAGACACCGATTTTTTTTCTTTTAGATTGTAGAATAAAAAACCGACAATAGCCGCTCGGTGTGAACGTTGCTGTCAACGTTTTGAACCAAATACAACGTATTTTGGTAATTGTTTAGAAAGCCTTCTTGGATCTCGGTGATTTTTTAAAACGTTGTAAAAATCTTAGTCTTGGTTTTCGAAATACTTGCAAAACACCGTGCTGGAGTACTAGACTGTCCTGCAGTTATCCATTCAACCCCACGACCAACCATAATTAACGTATTCGTGTTACCTTTGGCAGCCGATCGAGAACCGGTGCTTTTCACGTGGCATAAAATTTCATCTCGCGATAGCAGTCACGCGTGAAAAGCGTTGGCTGATCGATATACAGGGAACGAGCGCGCGAATTAATTATTATCGGTTAAAATCCGCCTAACGGATAAAAGCCTAATTACATTCTTTTCACTGATCTCTCTCTCTTTCTCTTTCTCTCTTCGCGCTAGTAACAGTTTAGGCTAGTTTTAGCGGGGAAACGAAGCATATCGCGTTCATATAGTCTCGGTCGCTATTCGGTCGATGGAACAAAGTACCAACGGGTATCGGAGCTGTTCCGAACGGCGATCGTGTCTCAGAGGATCGCGTACATCGACCGTTTTGTAGATTGACGGATATTTGGTTGGTCGGTGAACGCGCATGTCGATATCCGGTGTTGGAGCTTCGTCGACAGCGTAGAAGGAATGGAAAAGAACGGCGATTCTGGTGCCAAAATGAAAATCGATCTAATCTATACCTATCGATTTTCCGAATTTCTAAAACTGGTAAAAGTTGAAATTTTAAAGAGCAATCGAAAATCGACGATATCGATCGAAGATTATCACGGATAACGCTTCCATTCTATGTTTATCACTGTCCTCTTCTTGTATCGTCGTTGTCATCGTCGTTATCGCTGTTATAGCATCGCCACGATCGTCATCGAATAGACGTTAACATCGTTGAAATTCATCGTCGATAACTGATAGGCGGTATATCTCGAGGATGGAAAAGGGAACCCGTGTCTTAAATCTTCCAATCCTCTTTGATCATGTCAGCGGCTTTCTCGGCGATCATGATCGTCGGTGCGTTCGTATTGCCGGAAGTGATCGTTGGCATGATCGAGGTATCGATCACTCGAAGTCCATTTACGCCGTGCATCTTCAATCTGGCATCGACCACTGCCATTTTGTCCGTGGAGGGTCCCATTTTACACGTTCCGCTCGGGTGGTAAATAGTTAGCGTGTAATATCGAGCGAAACAACGCCAATAATCCAGCGATGGGAACTCGAACGACGAACACTCCGGAGTTCTGTTTGGATTCGGTTGAGTTTTCAGTTGCTTCATCGTGTTCGTCTTCGACATATCGTGGATAAACTTCGCGCCTTCCGCCTGCATCCGTTGACGTTAACAGACACACGATTTATTAAATTCTCGAAGATTCGATTTCTCAGCGTTGCTTGATCAAATTGATCGAGAAAGTACGGAACTCGTTGTACAGCGACGATGGCCAAAAGAAAGCTCGAAACAAGAAACTAATGCGAGTTTAGCAAATTGAATTTTAATCGAGAAGAGAAACAAACGTACGATATATCGAACGACGATATCGAGGAATAAACGAGTAGTCTAGTTTGGAGCAAAAACGTTTAATGCAAATTGTACCCGATACTCGTACACACGAGTATAGATTTTAAGCTTTCGTTTCTCCGTCACCGTATCGTCGAAATCGATCGAGTCGGCAACCGTTAGCTCAACAAACGTTCGCTGTACTTATTTTTTAAGGAATAATAAACCAGTTTATTACCAGAACGTCGAGATCGTGTGGATCGTCGAAGTAGTTGGGCACTATGATCGGCCGCTGATTAACGTCCTTGGAGCGCAGCTTGATGTATCCTCTGCTTCGAGGTCGCAGCAGTAGCGGCATGATCATGTACGAGTCCTGGTACAGGATATTTTCGAACAAACGCGCATAAAAGTCGTCCAGAAGGTTGCAAGCTCTCTTGCCAAAGAGACCGCCGTCCGTATTGTCGGCCGTTGAAGAGACGAACAGCTGTATATCGGGATAATCCTCCGACTTGTTCGCATATCTGGAAATATTCGTTATGATATAGACAAGCATGTAATGTACGAAAATATACGAAATAAAAGCAAATTTTGATCTCAGTCTCGTTTCTCTCGTTCGTAAAGATATAAATTTGCAGAAAAATTCGCAAAGTCGTTACGAGTTAACGTTGATAAATACTCACTTGGTGTTGATGAAACCTATACCCTCGGCCACGTTACTCCCGTACAACGGCCCGGTACGTTCTCTGACGAACAAATTGAGCGCATGGGCATTGACGGACCTCATCAAGTTAAAACTGAAAGATGTCGAATCCGTGATGTTCGCCGGTTTAGTCACCAAGTAAGTCAATCCACCGATCGCCACGTGATCCTGAAGATTTCTACCGACGCCGGGAGCTTCGTGGACCACGGGAATATCGAGTTGTTCCAAATGACCCCTGGGCCCGATTCCAGACAACATGAGCAATTGCGGCGATTGTATCGCGCCAGCCGATAGAATTACCTCGCGACTGGCTTTCACCGTCCTGCGCCTGGATCCTACTTGAAATTCCACGCCATAAGCAGTTTTTCCATTTTCATCTGAAAATCAACATCCGCCGATTGATCGTCTCTCGTGGTCCTCGTCTCCGATAATAACAATTCCAAGCTGTACGATTTTAAACGAAACTACGATAGGAAACGATAGGAAGAGCTAACGTTTGATAACTCGCCTTGGCTCACCAAAATCCTCTCTACCATCGATCTCATACTGATATGTAAATTTTTTCGCTTGGAAGCCGTTCGAAGAAAAGCTTTCGCGGTACTACATCGCAGACCATCTTTCACCGTTGCATGAGAGAAGGAGAATCCGGTTTGCGTGGGTCCATTCACATCCACCACGTCGTAGCCCATTTCCGTGCCCGCTTGTATCAGATAATCGGTCACGGACGAACGATAATTAAAGTATTCGACGGTCAGATATCCACCGGTTCGATGATAAGGGGAATCTTGGTATTCTTTGATCCTCATGTCCTCGGATTTCTTAAAATAAGGCAATACGCTCTCGTAATCCCATCCTGGATTACCCATCTCCTGCCAATTGTCGTAATCTTTCTTGTTGCCACGCACGTAGAGCATCGCGTTCAGCACGCTACTTCCTCCGAGTACCTGTACGATAATTCACGTATACACCCGCTACGTATCCAAAGATATAATTATCGGCGAGTACAGCGAACGATATCGATACGCGCGTAGAATGAAATTTCTGCGAGTTTGAATAAAGTTCGACGTAAAAGAGTTTGCTTACGCGAATCTATTATGCGAATATCCTCTGTTAAAAAAATTAACAGCAATCGTCACACCTATGTCGGTCGCGAGAATGAAAAATAGTGGAAATCATTCATAACCGACGTAACTTGATTTATGTGGAGAAACTAACATCGGATAGAGCAAATCCTTAATAACGACGTTACGTAAGTGCATACATATTTATACCGTGCACATTCATACATTATGCATCCATGATTGTGATAATAATAAACGATAATAAATGTCATTGGAAAATAGTACCTTGCCGCGTGGCCAATTGCACGCGTTAGCTTTCATCGCTTTGCAATAATTATTCGACGGTTCCGTCTTGAACTGCCAATCCATCGAGGTGAGTTGAAGAATCGGGAACAGAATCGGTATGTCGGACAAATCGTTCTCGTCGACGCCAGCCTCCAACAACAGCACCGTCCAATTTTCGTTTTCCGACAAACGATTCGCCAACACCGAGCCAGCCGTGCCACCTCCGATTATTATAAAATCGTAGCTGTTTCGAAGATCCGATAAAGTGGTCGGCTTCACCCTGGTCTCGCGACTCACGATATCCGGCCTGTACATGCCAATCAACATACGAAGGAGCACCAGGAAACTCAGTTCGGGTCCGTACGACATCGCGATCCTCATCGTGGAGATTCTGCTGACGCTCGACATTTCTTCCTTTTTCTTCTTCTCTTTCTTTCTTCTCGATCGATCGATCGATGACCAGCGATCGGTGATCCTTCAGGAAAAATTTGCTCGAACAACGATCCTCTTACGGTACTTTTTTCCCGAGTTTTTCCTACTCCGATCGTACTATACTACAATCGACGTGTTTCGCGAATCGCTATCCTTCGTTAAAATCTCCGTTAACGCTACCGAGCTGTCCTCTGCGCAACCGTGCTTATATTAATTCGATGATGTTTTAAATTCCGAAACCTTCGCGACAATACGTGATCGGCTGATGTTTCATTCAATGTACGTACGTGTAACTTGTATTCGCTTTCGACGAAAGATTTTATGTCACTTAAGCCAAACAAATCACGACAGTTTCAAAGCAAGTTACGCTTTCGCAAGCTCGACCGTTTCTCAAACAATTCGAAACATTTCGTTCGTCATAAATCTAAATGACTCAACGTCTCGAATTTAATCTACTTTTTTGATTATTATATAAGATTATATAACTGAAAGTGTACCTTGTTTATTTTTCTTTTTTTAACAATTATTTTTATCTCCTTGTCGATACCCAATGATATACCTAAAGACAACGAATCGATAAATTTCGTTCTTACCAGCATATCGTTCGAATCTTTAACACCGTTGCTCGAAGCTGAATATGAAAATAAACGCAAATTGTTATAAAACGGTACCAAAAAATTTGCGGTGCCGTTCTACTATTTCCTATTTAAACGCGAAACATTGTAACTACCCTGACTTAAAGATTCTTAATATATCGTAATATCGTAGCTACAGTCTAGAAAAGGCGGCGCTTTCAAACGGAACGCTTCCCGAAATATCGATCGCTCGACATCGCTTCTATTTAGCGTACATGCGTAGTCTTTTAACCAAATGTATTATAGTTAGACGAATCTTTTACATCGTGCAGACAAAAATTATATATTACAGGCACACTCAGAACGACGATACGATGGTATTCCGACAAAGCTCGAGAGCAAATTGCCTATGTAAAACCGTGGGACATTGCGCTATTGTTACGAATCGCTGGATCAGCTGTTTTTCGATTGCTTTCAGACGTACGAGTACGACTTTTGCAGCGATCGACAAAGTGGATGCGAAATACGTGTGCGTAATCGACGTAACTGAAACAGCGGAAATAATCGACGACATCGATATACCTAATCGATAAAAATTTCGTCGACTGACTGTGCTTTGTGAATATGAGAAGGAATAGAATCGTGATTATCGATTACGGGTAATTGGTGATACGAAACGACGTTACAAATACATACATCTCAGTTATCGGAATTTCTGAGTATGCGACCCAAAAATATGATTTGTAAAATGGTAAAATCATCGTATCAGATGGCTTAAGAATTTTGCACGTTACGATACATCAAGCGCATCCGATTTAATAACCCTAACGCACAATATCTGAAAAAATATAACCGATAGATATGCAAGGTGGTTGGTAACTGATGGTACAAGCGGGAAGAGAGTGATTCTTTTTTTTTTTTTAATTTTTCCATCGAGACAACGATTTACAGTGAGATCCGTTATAACGAGACGCGATAAAATGCAGGCGTACCGAGCGAAAATTCAAAGTCGATTTTCTCGAAAACAAAGCCTCGAACGAAAAATTTTTATTCTATATTTTCGACTTCTTTTTTCGCGTAGAATCACCCCCTTTCCGCTTGGGCGCTTTCAAACGGAACGCTTCCCGAAATATCGATCGCTCGACATCGCTTCTATTTAGCGTACATGCGTAGTCTTTTAACCAAATGTATTATAGTTAGACGAATCTTTTACATCGTGCAGACAAAAATTATATATTACAGGCACACTCAGAACGACGATACGATGGTATTCCGACAAAGCTCGAGAGCAAATTGCCTATGTAAAACCGTGGGACATTGCGCTATTGTTACGAATCGCTGGATCAGCTGTTTTTCGATTGCTTTCAGACGTACGAGTACGACTTTTGCAGCGATCGACAAAGTGGATGCGAAATACGTGTGCGTAATCGACGTAACTGAAACAGCGGAAATAATCGACGACATCGATATACCTAATCGATAAAAATTTCGTCGACTGACTGTGCTTTGTGAATATGAGAAGGAATAGAATCGTGATTATCGATTACGGGTAATTGGTGATACGAAACGACGTTACAAATACATACATCTCAGTTATCGGAATTTCTGAGTATGCGACCCAAAAATATGATTTGTAAAATGGTAAAATCATCGTATCAGATGGCTTAAGAATTTTGCACGTTACGATACATCAAGCGCATCCGATTTAATAACCCTAACGCACAATATCTGAAAAAATATAACCGATAGATATGCAAGGTGGTTGGTAACTGATGGTACAAGCGGGAAGAGAGTGATTCTTTTTTTTTTTTTAATTTTTCCATCGAGACAACGATTTACAGTGAGATCCGTTATAACGAGACGCGATAAAATGCAGGCGTACCGAGCGAAAATTCAAAGTCGATTTTCTCGAAAACAAAGCCTCGAACGAAAAATTTTTATTCTATATTTTCGACTTCTTTTTTCGCGTAGAATCACACCCTTCCCGCTTGTACCGCCAGTTACCAACCTCCCTGTATATGAAAATCTGTTTTTTTTTCTTTTTTTTTATAATAATATATAATCTGGCATTGAAACGTTCATAAATCACGCGGCTAAGAGCTCGTGTTTTTCGCTTCATTCGCTATCGAGATATAAATATTGAAATGCGACATGCCACTAACATTAGCGGTACTCGGTGTACACCGCGGATACACGTAAAGACCGCAAGAACGTGTCAATCTCCGGTAACCCGCTAATCAGCGTCGATACGAACGTTATGCTAATAAGTAATAACTGAAGTTATCAGCTGCGATGTACGAATGTGTAAGGAATCGATGTAAAGGAAATAATCGAAGTGAATATATTTACTTCGAATCGAATATTTGTAAATATCGCGAATATCTAATCGACGAGTACCTTGAAAATGTAAGTATTTAAGATCATCCGTCTCGTACGAGGATCAAAGGATGTCCAAAGTGTCCGATGATCGAACAATATCTGCGTCGTACGAGAATGTCTGAACTGGTTGAAGGTTGACGAGCGTCTGATATCTGCCTTCTTCTTCGAACGTTCGAAATCTGAACTGGTTGAAGGTTGACGAGCGTCTGATATCTGCCTTCTTCTCCGAACGTTCGAAACCAGAGCGTTTTACGCAGGGCGCACGCTGACCGATCGTCGTCAAAAGTAAAAATTAATTTTCCAACCTCTCTTTCGTAAGAGATCGTATATTTGCTTAAAAAAATAGAACTAATTTGGTCGAATCACTCCCAATGGGATTGAAAGGAAATGTCTCGTCACGTATGGCCCGGTTCTCGACGCAAGAATATCGACTTTCGCGGTATTGTTAGACCAGTTTTGGAACATTACGTCCGAAGGCGTTCCGGAAGCAGTCCGGAGCACGGTGATAAAGAAGACTTCGCCTCGCCGTTGTTAGCCGCTATTTTAAATACGCTAGCCTATATTTTAAAGGCGTACAACCGTTGTCATCGACAACGATTCTGTCCGAGCTTTAGTATCCGTTGGTCTACGACACGTCTAATATCTAGAACGGGAGACGGGAAGGAACTCTGTACAAAAATCATTTCAACAATGAAAACAACTGGACAAGGAAATAATTCGTATTATTTACGAAACAAGCAACGAGAATTCGATTTCTTTTATTCGTGTCGATATGATAAATCTATACGTAGTATTTACATTAAAAAGAAAAATTTACATTTTGCCGCGCCGTTCAAAAGATTGGCGATTACGTTCTATCAGGTATATCGCAAACTATGTACATTTAAAGATCAAAGCAAGGATAATTTCAAAAGGGAGTAACCAACGTCGTTAATAACTCTTTTCCTTTCGACGATTTTGTTATTTGTACGCTTTTGTCATCCTTTGTGCTGCTTACACTTTGAATTACAATAACGATACGATAACGCACGAACGAAAAAACAAAGGTTCAATCGCTGTACGATCCTTGAGGTTTGTCTCTCGATAACTCGAGGAATAAATAGAATACCGCTGTATTAACTTTCGCTGTACATAAATGGTACAAGTTCGTCGGGAAAGATCAACGAATATTATTACTTTAGCAGCAAAACGTGCGTCGACGCTTACGCGTTACATGTACTCGAAAACTTGGTGTAACTTTGTACCACCGTCGACGCAGTCGTAGTAATTATTTTATTCGCATCTTAAATCAACGACGCGGTTAATCCGTACCGTAGCTGTACAGGGATACGCAAGATTCGAGGTAACGTTTTTATCGCGTATCACCGACGCTTTAAACGATCGCTTTAAATTAGTCTACGAGAACCACGATGTTCACCCTCGGCCTCTTCTCTTCAACCAGAATTCTTTTATCATGTCGGAACCCTTCTCGCCGATCATGATAATCGGTGCATTGGTGTTACCGCTAACTAAATTCGGCATTATAGACGCGTCGATGACTCTGAGTCCGGTAACTCCGTAAACTCGAAGCTGAGGATCTACCACAGCCTCGGGATCCCAGTAAGGACCCATCTTGCAAGTGCCCACGGGATGATATATGGTGGCGGAATAGTGCCTGATCATACATTCCCAGTACGGGTCGCTGTACATAGGAATGTGTTTGCAGCCAGGAAATTGTTTCGAATTTAGTTCGCTTCCGAAGCGTCTGAACGAAGCGGTTCTACTCAGAGCGATTGCTATTTTGACTCCTTCGACCAGTGTCGCGATATCTTCCGGTTCCTTGAAGTAGTTCGGATAAATCAAAGGATGGTCGAAAGGATTTTTACTTCGAAGCTTGATAACCCCTTTGCTTTTTGGCCTTAAAAGCATAGGAATCACGCTCCACACGTCCTTATCGCTGATGGACCCGAATACAGCGTCGTAGAATCTTTTCGTCAATCCGTGAACCTTTCTGATGTGCCTACCACCGTCGGAGTTCGTCGACCCTGATACGAAATGAAGTTCTATGTCCGGGAAATCGTCGGAGGCGTTCACGTACTTCGTATTGACGAAGCCTAGGCCTTCGACACCGCCCAGCACGGTCAGAGGACCGTCTCCAAAGACGGCGTACTGCATCACAGCTTGAACGCTGTGCAACCTCTTCTCCACCATCGAAACCTGTTGATTCACCATGAACGTCAAACCTCCCAAACCGATATGGTCTTGCAGATTCTCTCCCACTTTTAAATCCTGAATCACCGGTATCCCGTGTCGTAGCAGGTGATCTCTAGGTCCGATTCCCGACAACATCAGCAATTGCGGGCTATTGATAGCACCTCCGGAAACGATCACTTCCTTTTTAGCACGAATACGGAACATCTTGTCGTCCCTGACGAATTCCACGCCGTAAGTCCTCCTCGATTTCGCGTCTATTAAAATCTTGGTGACCTGCGCGTGCATAGCGACGTGTAAGTTCTTGCGCAGCCTGGCTGGTCGCAGGAAGGCCTTCGCCGTGGAGCATCGACTGCCGCGTCTGATGGTTCCCTGAGCGATCATAAAGCCGGTTTGATGTTCCCCGTTAATATCTCTGTTCTCGTAGCCCATTTCTTGGCCTGCTTGAACGAACGCTGCGGCCAACGGGGTGTGCCACGGTGCTTCTTGAACGGTTAGATAACCCCCGGTCGAATGATACGGCGTTCGGGCCAAATAGGGATTTTGGTTGTCCTCCGATTTTTTGAAATAATAGAGAGCGTCCCTGGCAGACCAGCCTGGATTGCCTAGCTGCTCCCATATGTCGTAGTCTTTTTTGTTACCGCGAAGATAGAGCATGTAGTTGAGCACGCTACTGCCTCCGATCACTTTCCCACGTGGCCAGTTACAGCGACCCTCTTCCATCGCTGTGGTTGCGACCAAAAAAGAAAAAAAAGAAAATAAAACAAAAAATCGATATATGGAATACAAATTTTCCAAGATATCTCGATGATCGTTCTTGCGATTGTCCGTAGATGAATTACACTGCGGATATTTATGCATTTTTATATTCGTACGAACGTAATTAAAGAAATTGAAAGTAAATCAGATTCGTTCGTTAATCTGTTCGTTCGTTGATCTATCAAACGTTACAATACGTACTCTATCTTGAATATTTTATATATTTTTGCATATTATATTCACATTCTGCGAACCTTTGCACTCTTGGTTATTTCAATTGTGCAAGAATACATAAAGAACCGCAGTTTTAACCGTAATAGATAAAAAGAATCTGCTAACTTGAAATAATCAACCTGGCAATATATCGTTTACCTAGACAGGCTTCTCCGTTGGGTTCCGTTTTGTACTGCCAGTCTAATTGACTGAGCTGCAGATAACCGGCGAGCAGAGGAACGTCGGAGATTTCCGTTTCGTCACCACCAGCTTCTAGAAGGAGCACGTTCCAATTTTCTATTTCCGACAGGCGACTCGCTACCACGGCTCCTGCAGCCAAAGTTTACGAGAACTTAACGAAGATTTACGAAATCGGATCGTGACGCGAGCCTAGTTAACGAAAATTCGCAGTGAAGATAATTTACGCGAGACGTACGTTTGAAAAATAATAAATTACGTAAATTCGAATCTCGTTAGGGAAGTTGTTTGAAAGAAGCTTCGACGACGATCCAACGATCTAAGTTTCGTTAGAGAGAAACGAAATAGCAGAGAGTAGAATCGAGATATCGTTAAAGGAAACTTTCCTCGAAGGTATATTCGAAACGCTAAGAAACGCGAGCGAAATCTATCGGGAAACGCTAAGAAAATGTAAAGAAAATGAACGAAACGCCGTTAAACTCGCGAAACATTTCCTGAAACAAGAACGACGAAGCTGTAGACCGTGGACCGGATAAGAACCTGTCACCCGTGAAATGCAAGATCTTACAGGAAGTGGAAGAACGTGGATCGAGAAAGCTTTCGTAAAAATGCGAACTGGAAAGTTGGAGGACAAAGCGAAAAGAACATCGCGTTAACAATTCGAGTTTTAATTGCAGAAAAAAATCTTCAAACGTAGCTTTTCGTTCGAATTTGAAGGATTAATCGCGTCATCGTATTAGCATTTATTACGAGACGATAATAACGTTTAATTTTTATTTCATCTCGCTGGCTGACAGAGAATTTCTAGAAAATAGCCTCTATCAAATCTATCTACGTATACCTATCAAATTTCGTGCATCTGCCTTACCAAAGAAACTAGAAATACATTTTGCCGCTACGTTATTAATTTATACTTTCACGTCGATATAATTATCGTCGATGTATCTCTGAAAGAAATTTAAACAAAAATCGGTGAATAAAATTAGGTCAGAATTAACGGAATCTCTAATTCTTCCAACGCCAACGAAATACCAGGACATTATTGACGTTGATACGATATTAATCCTACTATTTCTACGCTTCCATACAGATACTCTCTTTTGCTTGCTTTTTAAATAAAAATTCAACGAGGATAGTGAAATTTTCTTCACTAAGGAAAGCGAATAAAGCGTATCGCGTTTTAACGATATGCGTCTTAACGCGTCGACAAAATTCCTCGAGCCAACGTTTTTATTTTACGACGTTTTATATTCCTACGAAACGGTATCTAGACTTTTACGTTCCGATGGCTGTAAACGTAAAAAGAGTCAGGATAAAGAAACGTAATATCGATCGACGAGGAAAAACATACCCGCGGAACCAGATCCGATAACGATAAAGTCGTACGATGGCAGCAGTACTTCCGAAGGTATATTAATCGGTGGCGCTTCGTTGTCCATCACTTCGTACTCGAAGTAGACGAGAGCCGCTGCGAGCACCGGGAAGAACCACGATAGTCCGCTGGATGCGGAGGTCAAACCTCCCGTTAAAACGCTTTCGATGCCCATGTTCTATCGATCGTCTGTAACACCAAGTTTCGCGACGTTAGATCGTCGGCGAGTTCGTTCGTTTCTATATTAAGGTGAAAAGGCAAACCTCATTTCTAAATATTTCGTAATTTATCAAGAGTCGCTACGACTTCGATCTAAATATCAAATCATATTTATTCAACGCTGTAACTCGTTTCTCTATTTATCTCTACAAAGTTGCTTTCGGATCTACGGTACGCTCAGCAACTATCACTTTCGGATAAGTTTCATCGATCGATTTACTGCCAATCGTCTACTTTTTAATTAAAGATAAATGAAAAATCCAACCTACTCGTGTCGGTATCGCGATTTTCCAACACGGTATTTCTTATCAACGAAACGACCGCTACAGAATCGCGACTGTATTCTCACGGTTATTCACAGGGATGACCGGCTTGGTCGACCTGTCCCCCGATACTGTCGAATCGAAGTCGATCCACAGCCGCGTAGAAATCGGTCGAAGAAAAGTGCGAGGCAACTACACACGTGGGTCGAGTGCGTACGAGAGGAATATCAATGACACGTGAAACTTTCAGCTGTTAAGTAATTCTGCACTAACGCGGTCAGCGCGGTGGCGGAAATCCTCACGTACACCCTATTGTCGAAACATGGCGCGATCGTGCGCGAAATCTCGCGAAAACGGGCGAAATCGACGACTCGAACGTGTCTTGAGAATTTCTTCGATAACGAAAAAGCAGCTTTCGGGATATAGGTATGCGTTTGTCTCCGATCAGCCGGTCAGTCAACGGCCGGTTATTCGTTTGTCCGAATAGCGTTTAACCAAAGTTACACGATCGTTGACAGGACCTATGATGAATTGGAAACTCGGACGATCCGCTCAGTCGGAATTGACGGTTGGTTAAATTGTACAAACCACGTGCTAATCGAGGTCAAATCCACCGAAGGAATCTTTATGACTTGCGTGGTATAACAAAGTCCCTCGAGTCTTTTGTATTCCGAGTTATTCCTAAACGCTCGAGGTTTCGTACATGATAATCGATGAATCACGCGCCAGGAACAAATAGCCAGCGAAGATCGGGCATAAAAAACTCACGTAAAAAGGAAATGCTACGCCGCGCTCTTCGGTTATTTTTCACACAGAATCGTCGTTTGCCGTTCGTACGTATTACCACACGCTGGATAATTGCACCGTGTATGAAATTTTTAAATCTCGGCAAGTCGATAAAACTTTGACGAGTTTGAAAAGGAAAGCAGTACCTGTTCACCTACTTCTCGAAGAACGGTGGATAGCGTGGAATCTAGAAGCTTCTTTTCTTCTAAATAATCGATACACTCGCAAGTTTGTGCTCCGGAAACAAGATTTTTGTCACGTCACCGCTTTCTTGCATCGACTAACCGGTCTTTCGATATTTAGTCGTCTAGTATCCGCGCAATTTCGCGTTACCCATTACGATCGAAAGTTGATCGATTCTTTCTAATTCTTAAAAGATAGTAGCAGTCGGTAAATCCACGGTTTACGCGGTCTTTGCTCTTTAATCGCGATCGACGTGTCTCGACGATTTACGAATTCTCCGACTTTCTTCATTCGCTGATTTCGTAAGAAGTTTTCTTGTTGCTACATCGTCTTTTTCTTCCTTTTTTTTTTCACTTCCGACTTTGATTTTTCGAGTACTCGATATACTAAAAAAACCTCTGCGAGGATATATTTCAAAGTTAGATCGATAATTTCGGAAACGACGAACTTTTTCCGGTCGTTTCGAAACGAGTTCGGCAAAACGGGTTAAAGACTCGGTCGGCGCTCTTCGTAACGATCGAACAGGAACGATCAAATACTTGCGTATGAAACAACTGTCGAAACGTCGGTGAAGCCCGTAACGCAAGCGCGTTACAGTCCATTATAACGGCAAAGCTTTCGAACTTTTAATTTCTTCTTTCAACGACAACTCAAACTTTAACTGTCGCGAAACTCGACGAAAATCACAAACTATTTGGAAGATCCATGGTTTCGATATACGACGAGCGACCGGTTAAAAGACGGTGTAACACTGACCGCGACCTTGCTCCTGTCGCTACTTTTCACACGATAGATTCATCGAGATCCGAGTAGCGGAATACAAGAACAAGTTACGAACCTTTCGAAGTCGAACGTGCCGCATAACGGTCCTCCGCCTCCTTCTCTTCTTCGACCTCTCTTTCGCCCCTTCTCGCGCTCTTTCTCGACGCGCATCTTCGCCTAACGTACTCTTCCGTCTCTGGTCTCGCCCGGTAGAAATGGAACTTTACGTTTGTATCGAGGAATTCGGTAAACGTTGAATCACTCTGCATGTCCTAGCCGTGTGTTCCATATTCCTTCCTTCGGTCAGCGATGCAAAATGCCTCGCCTCTCCATCCAAGAAAAATAAAAATACGTACAAAACTATGGAGTATCGCTTATACGGCCAGATATCGCGTCGAATACGACTCGTACTTTCGGTAGCTTGTTCCGACGTTGTACGAACTATCGCGTTATTCTGCTCTAGAAACGTACATTTTACACTGGTGTGGCGTAAACGAACTTTAACGATTTCAGAGAATAAACGTAATAAGAGATACGCGAATTTTTTAAGTTAGCTAACGATGACCTTGGAATATGCGGTCAAGATCAACGTTTCGAGTACTTTCTCTATTTCGAGGTTGTTTCGAGATGCGCTCTAGCGTAAATAACCAGAAAAGATACGACCGCGAGACTGGACCGTCGTCGATGGAATTTAGAAACACCAAAATGTACCGTAAACGGAATTTGAATTACCGTGACACGGAAACGAAAATTTCTCGATACGTATTCCAAGCATACGCGAACGACGTTAACGATCCTCGATCGTTGCCAATCTCACGCTTTATCGGTATTTACGCGATATCGGTATTTATTTGCGTTATTTCGTTTAATCGCTATCTTTCCGAGCTTGTCTCGCTCTTCGCGAGGTTAACTTCTTTCCCCTGACCTATATTTATTATCCGCTCGAAAGCAAACCAAAAATCTATATCGGCGTACGTAGGTAAGCTGTAGCGAAAAACAGAGGCAAAGAGATTCGAAAGCTATCGAACGTTTCTTTTCTCATTTCCGAGATAGTAGATTACGTGCTACGCGTCACGTTCGCGGTGAACGCGATATCCTGCGTTCGAGGAATCACCTTTGACGTCACCCGATGGACTTACGGTAAAAAGTCGGCGACGCAACGCCACCGGCTGCCATACAACAATGACCTACTTACTGTCGCAACAACATCCTCATTACGTTTAACGATCGTTGAATTACAAATCGAATCCGTTGTATCCTGACGAACGACGTGGAAGAAGTTCGCCCGTTCGGTCGAATTTCATTAAACTCGTATTTTAATCCGTCGCTTTTCTCGTCGTCGTTTAAGGGGTCGGGGCGATCAATGAAACAGCCGCTTTTACGATTCATAGACATCCGATGGAAACAGTCGTTTAAATTGGAATTAAGCCTCGCGACGAGCTCGGCTCGTCAAACGCTTGCTCGGTGCTCGCCGTTTATTATTTTCTTCAAAGTTTCTATCGCGAAAGGTAATCCGATTCGAAAAGGAGACGATGTTTATCGCGACCGCGATGATTCACCCTACGTAATAAGTCGTACTTTCTACCTAAAGTTCGCGATGCTTTCTACTTTTAAAAACGCATCGATCGTAATTACCGTGCTTTTACTCGGAATTGCGAAGGGAGAAATTTGAAGCGACTTACGGTGGTTCGCGCACGCCAACGCCTATTACTCTGTATTCGAACAATTTCCGTTTCTGTTGAACGCAACACCGTACAGCCATACATCCGCAGTCTGCTACGGTTACAGAGATCGTTCTCGTTTACTACCATGATTTTACCGCGATATTTACAAAACGTACCATAACGAGTAATCGAATTATTTCGACTTAAACGACGGATTATTCGAGTGCGATTTATTTAAATTTCGCTCGAACTAAATAAATTTACGATTTGATGATCGTTGTCTTCCATCGGATACCTGAAAAGAATGGACAAAGTTTGGATTTCATCGATACAAAGACGAACTAAATTTCCTTCTCGATTGTGTTTTTAGGAGGATGTTGCGGGTCCATGAAGAAGAGAACGATCGTCGGTGGCTACGCCTTCACATGGTGGTTCGTTACCGACGTCCAGCGATTGTCCCTCGAGGTTATGACACTGAACCCTGTCTGCGAAAACGTAGAAACCGCGCAAGGTGTGCCGTTGACCGTCACTGGAGTAGCACAGTGCAAGATCATGAAAGCGGACGAGCTTTTACACACTGCCAGCGAACAATTTCTAGGAAAGAGCGTTTACGAAATCAAATCGACCATCCTATCTACCCTAGAGGGTCATCTTCGTGCGATACTAGGTAAATTTTTGCGACGATCGCGCTAAAAGATGGAAGATCTTCGACTCTGCCGCTCAAGTATTCGCGCTTTTTCACAGACGCTATCGTAATATGTGCGAAAAACGAAAACATGAAATTCTAGTATTTTTAGAATACGCGCTTTTAATTTCTCGTAGTTTAACTTTTGTACAACAGCCGGACGTTTCGAATCGATAGCCATAATATTTGTAACGTTCTCGAAACGATAACGGCCCTCTGTCGTCTTTGCATCTGGCACGACGGAATGGTAATTTCGGCGCAGCTATCTTGTACTTTGCCGATCGAGTATCTGTACCTTGCACCGTTTCGCGGTAGTTAAAGATGTTTCGAGCAAGTGGAACGCGCGAACCTCGTAAACGAAACTACAAATCTTTTACCTTCGAGCTTATGCAGTTTTACGGACAACGATATCGCAGCGCATGGAATTGGAAAAAGTTTAAAGCTGGCGAAAGTATCTTGTAAGATGCGTACGATATCGAAACGACGAGGAAAAATTGGAAAAACTTTCAGGCACGCTATCGGTGGAGGAGGTGTACAAAGATCGAGATCAATTCGCGACGCTAGTGAGAGAGGTGGCCGCGCCAGACGTCGGTCGCATGGGCATCGAAATTCTATCGTTTACGATAAAAGACGTCTACGACGACGTTCAATACTTGGCTTCGCTTGGCAAAGCGCAAACTGCGGCTGTTAAACGGGACGCCGACGTTGGCGTCGCCGAGGCGAACCGCGACGCTGGCATTCGGGTACGTTCATACGCAAAGCTCTATAGGAGCGTGCGACCCAGATACGATCGCACGTATAATCGTCGTAGACTATACTGGATCCGACCGCCTACGTGTACATACATCGGTCGTGTTGCGACCGTAATAAGGTATCCCTTGTGGAAAAATAAGAAGAAAACACGCGATAAAATTTGTTCGTTCGACGCTTGGTCTTCGAGAAAACCTCCGAATAACATTTCCCTTTAAACGGCTAGATCGAGCTCCGTTTTAGAGATTCTGTGTCCACTCGAAATTAGCCCGTGCCCTTTTGCGTTCGTCTGTTTGGCAGTTTTTTTTTTTTTTTTTTAAACAAGAGCGATCTCCTTGACTGTGAACAGCGAGATACCTTGCGTTTTTATTATCGCGTACAGTATCTTAAACTAGTGGACTAGCTTGGAGAAAAATTAGACGCTTACAAGGGAACTTCGCGTCGAAGATGCCCAACGATGTCGAAGCTTTATACGCGCGAATTCGGTGCAAGTTCAATTCGTAATAGAAATAATTGGATAAAATAAGTAGAAAATATAAATACGAAATATCTCGGAAACTAGGAACCGTTCGACATTTTATCGTTTGGTTACGCGTATAGGAAAAAGTTATTCGAAATCGCGCCCCCGAAATCGAAATTGATCCGGTACGCGACGCGAGTAGGATAAACGTTCAAATTTATTCGTTACTCTATTTCAAAAAATTGTATTCTATATTTTCTCGTTTTTCCACGAGAAGTTAGCTCGCTCACGCCTGCACGTATGTACCTGTTATTCGGTCCGATACCGTTGTACCGCATACCGTATATTTATCTAGAGTGGAAACGTATTTACTTTATTTCGTGCGCGAATCGATAGGAAGCTGAATGCGAGAAAGCAGCGATGGACATAAAGTACAATACCGACACGAAGATCGAGGACAACGCGAGACTCTTCCAGTTACAGAAAGCGAATTTCGACCAAGAAGTGAACACGGCGGTAAGTAGCGGTTTGGACGAAACGTATCTTCTCTGTGGTCGTAGTTAGACGCGAATTCGAACGAAAACCGATTTGATCGATATATAGAAAGCGGAGGCGCAATTGGCTTACGAGCTTCAAGCGGCGAAAATAAGGCAACGGATACGAAACGAAGAGATTCAGATAGAGATCGTGGAGAGGCGCAAACAGATCGAAGTAGAGGAACAGGAGGTACGTCGCAAGGAACACGAGCTTCAGAGCACCGTGAGATTACCCGCGGAAGCTGAACATTACAAAATTGGCAAAGTGGCCGAAGGGAAAAGGTAACTTTGACTCGTATCGAAATATCCTTAACGCCTACGACTCGCGAACGTCGAAACGCGGATGATCAAAATACGACGAAAATGCGAATTTTCTTGGTTTTTAGAACGCAAACGGTAAACGCGGCCATAGCCGAAGCCGAGAGGATTCGTTTGATCGGGGGAGCCGAGGCTCAGGCTCTGGAGGCGGTTGGAATGTCGGAAGCCGAACGTATGCGAATGAAAGCCGCCGTCTACAAGAAGTACGGCGAGGCTGCTATTCTCAACATTGCTCTGAACGCCTTGCCAAAGGTAAGAGATCGCGACGATAATTCGATCTTGAGCGAAAGAAAGAAAGTAAAAATCCTATGCTTGGTACCGCGTATGTACGAACAAACGTACTATCAACTGCGATATGTATATTTTTGCAGATTGCCGCGGAGGTGGCCGCGCCGTTAGCGAGAACGGAGGAAATCGTGCTTCTGGGCGGAAGCGATACGACCAGCGGTGAAATTACGCGCCTTGTGGGGCAAGTACCTCCAGCTGTCCAAGCATTGACCGGTGTAGATCTTTCAAAAGTACGTTCTAGAGGCCACTGGCCCGCTGGTTATCTGCATACAGATAACGCGCGCTATCGAAATTACCGTTTTCGATAGAACCAGCGCCAACTTTCAAAAATGATTTCAAAAATATAATTCATCGCAGTGCCGTCGCGAGTATTCCGATCGTTGCTGTTTCGTAAAATTTTCGTAAGATAATAACCAAAGGTATATTAAACCGTTCGGTTATACTACGATCTACGTTAACCGAACGAAGATCGCGATCGAAATGCCGCGTTGACGCAACGTTCGCTCTTAATCCTCGCTCGCTTTACTCTGCTAAATATTCTAACGAGCGCTTGAGAATTTGGAGATTAAGGATCAGTAGTTTAAATTTCAGTCAATCAATTTCCCTATTTAGAGACGATCTTTCTATCGTTTCGGTTAAATCGATAAGAATATCCGAAACCGTAGGAACATGGCGAAAAAATATCTGACGCATCGGATATGACACTGGGGCGTGATCGCAAAGCGGCGCGCCTTTGATCGTACTTGGTTTCATTTCGTTGGTCGCGTAAAGTTTCCACGCGAAATAACGTTCGAACGTTCGAATCGTTTGCAGGTGTTAAGCAAGATACCAGGAGCAAAGTAATGGCGGAGCATGAAAGGGGAGCAACGGCGACCGTGCGATCGCGGACACTTGGAATCGGGTGAAGAAAGGAGCGAACGTTATACTGCCAAAGGTTTCTCTGCTACTCCGCGTCATCCAACGGTGACACTCCACTTCGTTCTCTTTCCCGAATTACTCTACCTCAGACGTAGGTGAAGCGACGCTGAACATAATCGGTGGAATCGGGGTCACGTCTCCGCCACGAATACGTCGATTACAATTTCGAACGTATACGCGGGCAAATTCGATGCTTCGTTACGCGATACTGGACCACTTTATACAACGCACATAAAACGTCTCCGCTTCGTCGTCGTTCGTGCACGTCGATTCGAACATCTCCTCGATCCTACCGAATCTTTCTTCACGACCGAACTCTGATCGACGCAACTGTTAGTCGCGCAACGTCAAGTTGTAAGATAGAAGCATATAAGGAGAACGAAGAAAGAAGAATCTTAGGAGAACTCCTTGGAAGAGGAAATCGAGTACACGATACGCGTATATCGCTATTATTTCCGAATCTATCGTGATCGAAGATTCTCGATAATTGTGTTCAACTTCGTAAATAAGAAATTTAACGAGGGAAAGGAGAGAGAGAGAGAGATATGAGAGAGAGAGAGAGAGTATGATGATAAAATCATCGTTCGTGCGATGTAGGCGACGTGGAAATTAACCGTTCGTAGTCGTTGTACATACTCGTAGTAACGTGTGTATCATAGAAACTGAAATTTCTTACATTGCTTGGAACGAGACGCCTCGAACGTTCGAGATGCTCGACGGAATCGAGGCTGTCGCGTGAAATATCTCCGTCGTTTTCCGAAAGATTTCGAGCGAACTTGTACAGAGTGGTTTCTGATAAAATATTTAAATGAAAATTTATGTAAAAATTCGATAAAAGTTTTCGAGTGGTGTTTTCCTAGAATTTGACTTTCTATTCGAAAAGTATAGCCACCTTCTCTACGTAGCACCGCGTGTCTTTTTCATACGCGTTGACCGTTGTATTTATCGTGTGTGCGTGTGCGTGCAAACACTAGAATAAGATGTATAGAATCGATATTTCATCGGTCGTCACTCTGTCTAATTTCTACGTTTCTCACTCCGATTTCCATTCAGCTGTGCGATTAAATCTCTTCTTTCGGGTAAAAGTTACGACAACTTCAACGATAACAAGATACACGAAAATATCTGCTAATTCGAGAAGATTTAAATTTAAAGTTAAAAAAGTGCCGAAAGACGGAACACGCGAACGAGCGTTCGAGTATCCTCGTTCGAACCGCGTTCGCGCTCGAAATTCTCTCGGTTGACCACGCATCGGAATCAATCGCATTCCCGCCGCCAGATCTACTCTCCAAACCGAAGAAAGTGCCAACCAATTTGTAAATACGGTATCGTCTTGCCGGAGTCGTGTAGCAGAGCGAATGGTAATTCTCTATCGCGTAACGAGCGTTCCGTTGTGTCGCGTCTGTTTTTTCCGATTCGGTTCGCGATCCAGTGCTCGCATCCGAGAAAAGCCTGTACGCGCGATAATTTTTGTTCCGAGCGACGTATTCTATCGCGCGAAAATCACGTCCATCGTGTCCTCGACATTGCGATTACGACGATCGAATCGTCGTTCGTATAGCTGATTACGATCGAGCGTCACCGAGTACAAATTCCATTGTCCTGTCCGATGTATATGCTCGCGAGAGACAATTCGAAGGAAAAAAAGGTCTGATCGTGTAAATTCGTTTCGACGTTCTTTTTCTCTCATTCTACTTTAGGAAATCGTTTATTCGTTTATTTTTTTACTCGTTATAGGATTTCACTCGTATTTTTTATATCTATGTATGTTTTTCCTATTGAAAACGTATTTTAAGAGTAGAAGTTACGCTCTTATCGAGAGAGGACTCTTCGAACCTGCGCGAGCAAAACAGATCGTGACTTGTTTCTTCAAGAAGAGAAAAAAAAAAAGAAAAAAAGGAAGAAAGGAAAAAAGGGAAGCGTACAACCGTCATTCGTCGCTAAAGTCTTCCCAAAAGAAAAAGAAGAAAAAAAAAAGAGAAAGAAGATAAGAAAGTATAGTACATTTAGAGCAGTACAAACGAGATGACAGAGCAAACTAATTTCAAAATACGATTATATCGAACGAAAAGTTTAAAAAAAAAAAAGAAAAGAAAATTAAAGAAGTCGTGATCCGTAAGTGCAAGGTCCACGTCTATATAGTATTTTTATTATAATAAGCGATCGAAAGTGTAAATGCCGATTATATAAAGGGGTAAAAAGGAAGAGATAAAGAAAAGATAAGTAGAAGGTTCTATTTCTCCCAAACAAATGTTTTATATAAGCTATTTTTAGTAAACGTTTAGCGCACCCGTTCCGATGGGTAGTCAATGCGAGAACTCGCCGTGTTTAAAGTTCTAATTGCCTCGGAATGTTCTTCGTTCTCTCGATATCGTAGATCCGCGAAAGTATAGATGTTACGCGAGCGAAGAGATAAGAAAGAAGAAAGAAAATGAAGATAACCGACGTCTATGTGCTTCTGAAAAATATCGTCTAGCGCCCATCGAAATGAATTTCTCTCAAAGTGTTCGACTTTCGTTGCAGGATCGACGACGCGTTAAATCGAATAATTACAGCGATCTATAAATCGATCGTCGTCGATGGAACAAAGAGCTTCAGGTAGTTGCCAAGAATCCTGCGACGTTCGAGGACTCGTAAGATTCGTAAAGAACGTCTGTCCGGTGATTTCTTACAACTTTTCTAACACGATCCGAGTGGATGTGTTTTTATACTTGTATTTTGCGCGTTGATAGTTTTATTTCCTCGAAATAATACTCGAGACTTAGGAAAAGAACCAGTTAGTCGCCTTTCTTTATCCATTAAGAACACGAAAAATTGTTTGTGGCCATATCTGACCATCGATTTCTTTCGATCGCCGTTAAATCATTACCAAAGATAGAGAACATTTTGTTCGATCGCGTCCTGAGAAATTTATCCTCGACGGATTCCAATTAAAAGTCGAAACTTTTCTCGGCTAAATCTTCTTCCGAGTCGCGAACGAGCGCGTAGACGATTTCTATTATTACAAACGAGTTCTATAACGCGTAACTTTCTGAATTTTTTACCAATCTTCGATCGACGTAACGAAAGAGTTTCTTCGTAGCTTGTATAACGATTCACGAGGTTCTATATGTCCGAGCGAGTCGCGATCCCGTCGGCGTGTTACTTCTATTATAATACTACAAATTATCTTCGCGTAACGCGAGTTGCAAAAAGAGAAAAACAGGATGGAAGGGTGATAAAGAGGAATACGCGCCTTGTCGTTCCAGCCTAGTTGAGCGAATGACGAAAAGGGCAGCGTAGCTACGTCTTTCGTTTATCGCATCGAGTATTTGTTTTACCGTTATATGAGATTTTTCGCGAATACTTTGCCAACCAAATGTCCATTACGTCCGAACAATCGAGTATCGATCGAGGAAAGATCTCGTATCGTACAAGGATGATCGCTAGTGCGCGCAATTTTGATCTCGCAGAAACGAAGGAAATCGTAAAGGTGATTATTCAAATAGATCTCGCAAATGTCACGATCGTGCTTTCGTTTCTTACGATTTAATATTTTTCTTTTCATTAGCAACACCACCGTTTCACGGAACTTTCAACTGGTTTTTTGTTCAATTTTTCCTATCTGTTACTTATTCTCGTTACGCCGCGTTTCATTTTCAATGAGAATGGGAAATCGAGACCACGAAATCGAGAATCATCGTTTCCAGATCGACGAACAAATCATCTATATATATATACACATTTTACTTTACGTAAAAGGAAACTGTGTTGCCAATCGAAACTAAAAATATTAATGTACCTTTGTCAAGATATTTTACGCTTACGTTTTCTTCTTTTTCGCGCTTGCGGTTTAGAACTACTGTAATTAATCGTATATCGAAGAGGCAACTGCCTTTTATATTCGTTGTAAGAGCGAGTTCACAGGCTACTAAAAAACGTTAAAGAGAAAACTTTGCTTTTTAGCGCACAATACATAGAGATTTAGCCGGAATAAGAAGTTTGTTGCTAATTTATCGACTAGTTTGTCATCGATAATTCCGTAATTCGATATTTTTCTGCCGGAATACCTGCATTTCATCAAGGAATATCGACATTTTACCCGCTGTCTTCGATAAATACGGTGAAAAACGATCGGCAATTTTGCAAGATTTTTAAGCTGTTTCGACGATATTTTATTACGAACGAATTCTCGAATTTATACGCAACTGTTATACTCGTGATCCTTCTTACCCGTTATAAATTATGTGATAATCGACAATACCTTTTCTAAGGTAATAATTAAAGCGGTAAATAGTATTAGTAATTAATTATTAATAGCGTAACTATCGTATTAATACGTTGTTCTAAACGATAAATTTGATAAATTCGATGAATTTAATTAAATTTAAATACCGAACAAAGAGGAGAAAGATCGCACGGCTCTGATTCGAGAATTCGATTGCCGATACGTGTGTTTGATTTTATGCAAGTACGGAGTGTCATACTCGTTTAGTCGACGGTACCTTTACCACGTAGAGAAATATATATATATACTAGCGATATATTTTGTTCGATCATATATTACAGTTACCATGTACATACTTACTTTTATTATGCTTATTTTATCGCCATTTATGTATCTTGAATTTTTTGTAATAATTTACACCAACGTTACTTCGGTGCAACCGAATAGCTTTCGATCGGCAAGATCGTACAAAGTACGCGATCGTTGGTTAATTTACAATTACGATCGTCGAGTAAGATATACGTATAAAATATACAACGCGTTTAAATGAGAATTTCCTCGTTCTTATCGATAATCGTGCGTTTACGTTTGTCAAGATTCTGTTCGTACGAGCTACACTGCAAAGTGTAATCATCGCGAGAACTAAAAGTCATGGATCCAAGCACGTATACGTATTATCCCGTTGTCTCGCAATGGACACTCCTTCGGTAAATCCTGAATATTTCTCGTTTCTTTCGACGAACTATCGAATCGAGACGATATCCGTGACTCTTAGTCGTAGATCGTCGCGACAAGGATACGCGCGAGCCGAACGTCGTTCGAAAAAGTATCTCCGAATTGTACGATTTCGTGAAACTCGTAGCTTATTATACTCAGTCTATGTATATGTATAGTATGTATACGTACGCGTACGCAACGCGCGTCGAACGAAACTGCGATGATCTTCGACGGGCGAGAATGCCTGCGAAACCGACCAAAAAAAGTGAAAAAAGAAAAAGAAAGACGAAAGAAGAAAAAAAGGAATGGAAAGAAAAGAGAATCGCGAAGCAGAGGGGATAAGAAAAGAAAAAGACTAAAGCAAGAGTACGGGGGAGAATCGTTCGGAATTCTAGGACGAATGAATCTAGTCTTTTGTAAACGAGAAACACGAGAGTATCGTATATTTTGAGAATTACGTGCTAGAAGCGTCTAAACCCGTAGATAGAGAGGACAATATCAACGATCGTGTTGTGCTCTACTCTGATTGAAAGTAATGGAACACACCTATATACACTATATACGTACATGCATACATTTGCGCATACACAGAGAGACAGCCGTGTACGCGTGTACAGATACACAGGCAATACGAATTAGTGGATATTTTTAATAGACGGATATACGGAGCCGAGAAATTTCCGATTAATCCGCGGATCGATCGATTCGACACAGGATCGCGATCGTCGCGATGCGAGTCGCTGCTATTGTAATTTTCTCGTTTCTATTCTTCTTGCCTTCGACAACACGTCTGTCGTCCTGTATGCGATGATCAATGCCGATATTAATTAATCACGGGTAATTACCGCCCTCTCCCTTGTAACGATAATTGTCAATGATCGAGTGAAAATAAATTGGTTTTTCAGTGATAAAACGATTTTGCCTAGGTGGTTCGTTCGGTCGAGCTTTGTTCTCTTTTTCGAAGAACGAACGAATTTCCTTCGACCAACGAATCGAAAAGTTTAACGAAAACCAAGCGAAACGTTTAGTCGTAGTCGAAGTTCCTCGACCAAAGGTTCGCGCTTCAGATCGAACGACGAGTTTCGTTTCTATTTCCACTTTATCGAACCTGTTTTTTTTTCTAGATCGAATCGTTCCTTACCTATGCTCCGCCAAGACCAACGACCGAAGAGACGATCGTCCACCTGATCGTCCAGGTAAATCGAGAGTTCGACTTTGCGACATCGTGGTTACGCTTTCGTCTTCGTCGTATTCGACGCTTCGAGTTCGACGCTACGTACGATTTTATACGATCAGAGAGATCGTGTAACGACTTTGAGAAAATATCCGATCCTTTCGTATCAAACGATCTTACGTACCTTTGTCGACGAAATACGGAATATCATCGTTATTAGTAGGACGGATTATTTATCGCGGATCCTTTGATCTTGCAAAGTCGTTTACTTTCGCTTCGCGATTATTCGTGCGATAACGAGTCACCATGAGAATTATCCACCGACTTTCCACTACGTTTTATCGATAGTTCGCAACGGTAAAGAAAGGCGAATTAAACAAAGATATTTAGATAGAGCGACAGACGGTTCGTATCGATGATTCTTATGGCGATTCGTTATTTCGATAAGTCACACGCGAAGGGATACGACGGATACTACCAATTCTGATATTCATAAAAAACATATTTAATATACTCATAGTTTGACATTCGTATATAACTCGTGATCGAAGAAACTCGTTACACCGCGTAATAATTTGCGATTAAGAAACCCGAGATACTCTATATAGTACTTAGTATCGCTAATAATTACAAAGTTAATCTAATACTGCTATTTCTTCGGAAAAAGAAGTTCCCTTGATATCGTAGAGCTCGTTCGGAATAACATGTTCGAACCTCTGCGTTTGGACGCAACGTTCGCGCTTCCTCCTTCTCCTTGTCAAATTTCACAGCGCTGTACATATTCAAAGTTAAAAACCAAGCATCGGTATCGGTAACTGACTTTGTCGCTCGCAAATTTCAATCTCCGCCATACCTACGCTCGTTCTTCTTTTCGTTCGACGAACGAAAGCAATTGGAAATGCATCGACCGTTCGGAACACGATCACTCGTACCCCTTCGCATCGAGTTGCTCTATTCTTTTTTCCTTTTTTTTCTTTTTTTTTTTTTGCTTCTCTTCGAATACCACCGGTACTCTTTGACGTAATTTCTCGCTAAGCGTCGAAATTCGACCGAATCGCCGAGCAAAGACAGTGTTCAAGGCGGAAGCAAGGAGGACTGGGCAACGCTTCACGCTTCAATTTTTATTGTGATAGATTGTATTGAAATTTGTCGCACTGCTTCTGAAAACAAAAAGTGTTTGCACGCGGCTGGGTGCTCCGGCCCTCGTGCGCCACGCTATCCTTTTTCAATTTCTTTCGCGCCTCTATCGCGTTACATAGTGTGTTGCGCGTGTCTTTCCCTCCAGTTCTCACATTTCCAACAACGCGCAACGAGTCCTTCGAAGAGGTTCCTAATATATACCGCGTGTTTCTCATATTTTTACATATACCAGCGATGGTATATACAACGAAATTCGACATAGAGTACAACGATAGCGACACTCTTGTTAAGACGCACAGACACGCTTGCTTTTCTATTTACTTATTTCTTCTTTCTTCTTTACGTCATGCCGCCACATTCACACGAGAAATACAATGTACAGATATTCTACTATCACGAGAGATGTACAAGACACGCTAGAGTTACAGTTTTTTTTTTTTATTCCAACACGTTCTTTCTCTCTCTCTCTCTTTCTCCCTTCCCCCTCGCGCCTCACCCTCTTTCACTCTGTCATACTCAACGTAATAATTACAGCTGGTAGTTTTTTTCTTACTTTTTTCCACTCTCACACCGTTTCTCATTCTCTCCGATCCTTTCTCACCTTTTGCCTCTCACTCTCTCACTCGCTTTCTCTCTCTCTCTCTCTCTCTCTTTCTCTCTGCCTCTCGTAATTCTATATACAATTAGGGTTTCGTTTTTTAGGATGTTAGCGAATAATATTTAGCATCGTACGTCTACGCTGTAAACGATTTAACAGTTTCTTTCCTTTCTTTTGTTTTATTTTTGCTTAAACGCTATAATAGTGCTAAGTAATTTTGTCAGTTATTTATATCACATTGTTCATGTACATGTAGATTCCCCGCACGTTTCCTCCGTTACTTTCTCTTTTCCCGTCGATCGATTTTGTTCCCGAGGATTCCTAGTAGTCGACGAGATTCTTTTTCTTTTTTCTTTTTGTTCCTTTAACTTTTCTTTAATTATATACAAAAAAAGGATGTTTTTTTATCGCTTTTATTTTCTTCCTCCCTTCCTCTCTCTCTCTCTCTCTCTCTCGCTCTTTCTCGATTTTACTTTGCTCGTCACCTGCCTCTGCGTGTTCTTCCTTCGCCAAACGCAAGATCGTAGTAGCACGCGCTTAATCGTTAGATTTCCAAACAAGTAAACGTCTGTCGGTATCGTGACGTTTTCCTCGCATAAATAACCAGAACCTTCGTTACGGAAAAGTAACGTTACGTCGCTCGAAGCTCGCCTTCTCGATATATCCGAAAGTCTACTTTCCTCGGATCGGATCGGATCGGCTCGTTCCAACGACGAAATAACTCGAAAACTAATTTTTCTTTTTAAGCAAAGATAACGATCGATAAAATCTTGCACGTTCGGCGAACGAAGCAACGATCCTCGCCTTCCTACTTACTCGATCTGCGCAACGTGTTAAGAATGCCCCCAACATCTAGTACGAGTATTTACATGCATTGCACGATTCGTAAGATTGGATTTAAAAGATACGAAAAGAAGGAAAGGAGATTGATACGACAGAGTGGCGAACTACAGTTCGAAAGCCTAGCGTTGTTGATTCGCGTTAAAAAAAAAAAAAAAAAAAAAAAAAAACA